GCTGAATCATTCATAATAAATAAGTAAAACTTGTATACAGAATAATATAATAATCCAATCGATTAATCGTTCATATATATATCATAAGAGCAAAAAAACGAAAAAAAAATAATATAACGACGGACAAGATTTAAAACTCATGTAGCCCATGAAAATAAAATGAAAAATGAAAAAAATAAAGATAACTGCATAAAACTTCGTCTACATAAGCAAAGATGCAGCGATAATCACGACAGCAGCAGATCCAGTGACGGTGACTCTGTTCAAAAAGGCACCGCTGGAAGGTCCTTGTGCTTCAGATGGTGGAGCAGAGATGGACGACGGAGAGTTGGCCGGAGCAGCAGATGGATGATTGGGTGAAGCCGATGGTGAGTGAGTTGATGGAGAGACCGACGGAGACACCGCATGACCTGTCTTAGCCTTCCTTGGTGGAGTGGCCACCGGCGACGAAGCTGGAGATTGAGCCATTGTGTAGCTCAAGAGCAAAGCAGCCACAAGCATAAAAACCAAGGTGGAGCGAGCCATTATAGAGATAAAAAGTTGATGCAAAAGAGAAAGTATGAGGGAGAGAATCAGAGAGTGTGTGACAAGAGATAGCGAGGGTGGGAGGTATTTATAAAAGGGTAACCGCGTGAAGAGTGAGAACTTGGTTCATGGGACCGCTGGTGCATGTTGGCCCTGTCGCGGTTGATATAGTCTCACTATTTTTATTTGATATAGTCGTGATGATTATAATTCAATTAGCTGCTATCCTCTCAAAAAAAAAAAAAAAAAAAAAAAAATTAATTTTCATCCTATATGGTTATATATCACTTGACATTATGTGTTTTTAAATTTCTCACTTAGATCTATTATGATTATAAAAATGTATCATTTAACTCTTGGTGGTTTTAAAATATCAGTTATACTTATTGTGATTACAAAAATATCACTTAGACGCATATTATGGTTTTATATATTACAATACAAGTGCTTGATTTACGATAAAAATAAATAATTTATTTTATTTGAATTAAAATTTTTAAATGATATGCATTTAAATATTGTGGTCTTATATTTTTATCGTAAAAATAAATTTAAGTCAAATATTATTTTATTTTATTAAATATTGTTATAGCATTTTTAAAAAAATTAAAAACAGTAATTAATTTAATTAATATGTCTTTAATTTATCTTTAATAATATTTTTAATTTTAAATAGTTTTTCCATAAAAAAAAATTTAAGATGATTTTTAAAATATTTTCAAAATAAAACTTTAAATATTTTTTAAATTTAATCATTAAGAATTAATTTTATTCAATAAATCATATTATATAAAATAAAAGTTTGAAGAATTAAATAATTTTATATTTACAAGACCATCAAGGTCTAAGTGATATATCTTTGTTATCATAACATGTGCAAGTGAATGTTTGAAATCTCAGGAGTTTAAAAGATAAATTTATTTAAGCACAATGGGTATAATTACAAATGATAAGTTTGAAACCACAAACGATTGAATGACATAGTATTAAATCACAAGGAGTGAAAATGAAATTTTTCCGAGAGAACATTAAATATGATTATGATTTTTCATATTTAATACTTTATATTTTTTTTTTTTTTTTTTTTTTGATAACATAATACTTTATATTTATTTTCATCTTTGTATGGTTATGGTTCCTCATATTCAATGTTTTTCACATTAAATATAGGGAACCATAACCATACAAAGAAAGAAATAAATATACCCGTCGGATCAATATAATCAATCTAACGATGAAATTGATTGGTAGTAACACTTATTGGTTGTTACAATATCCTATCCCTTCTTTAAAATTTAAAGAAAGCTGATTATAAATTAAATTCATTTCAATTAAGATTACTTCACCTAAAATAATTATTATAAATCAATCATCAATAATGTACCTAAAATAAGGAATAATATTAATAATTATTTGTTCAAGTGAATAAGTGATAAGGAGCTTGTTCCCCCTTAATTAACCACGGGTCTCGAGTTCGAGTCCTTGAAAGAGAAAAAATAATCTTTCCTATAATAGGTCCAACAATGCTCTTACATGACTAATCTAGAAATTAATACACCGACAGGTATATTAAAAAAAACAGAAAAATATTTCTACAGTTATTGCAGATAAGTTATCTGCATTTACTTCCAAATGACGTCGTTTTGAGATAAAAAAATTAAAAAATTATAATTATAAAGTTTATTATATCCCTGAAAAAAATAAAAGTTATAAAAACACCATGATTTTCGCCCCAGAACAACGTCGTATTGGGCTTACTTATCTGCAGTAACTGGAGAAAAAGCGAACCCTAAACAAAATTCAAAAGAAATCATTCTTAATAATTAAAAGAAAGTTTTTCATTTACAAAAAAAATTCAAACAAAAATTAACAATCAATCAAGCTAAAAAAAAAGTCCTAAATTTAATTTGCATCATTCATTGATTGTAATACTCCGCAATTTGTTTTGAACTTAAAGAATTCTCAATCTCAAAATATAATTTACTTATTTTACAATAATAATAATAGTTTACTTTGTAACATGATGAACATTATAAATATAATTTAATGAAATTTCAATTATTTCAATTACAATAATAATAATCTTTCAACCATCTAACTATTAGCTTCCCCTAAAGTTTTTCTTTTCTTTTTATTAAATAATTAATATTGTGTTTGATATTATATGATTTAGTAATTTTTTTTTTTTTTGGTGAATTGAAGAGGGAACAACCTCCTACGGGATTACAAAGCTTACAAAGTGATTACAAAGTTTGAATCACTTCCTATGATGATACAACGCCAACCTCCAACCCAAATAAGTTCTAGACCTTTAAAGATGTCCCAAAGCACCGCTACAAAAGTTGTGCACTAACCTATATTATAAAAGAAACCCTCCAACCATCGACCAACAATATCCTTAAGAAGCCCACCACAACTAGATCCACCATAGTTTTCCCTATAAGCTCTGTTATTGTTAATTTCCACTCGTCTTTCTTTTTGAGGTTTCTAGCTGATGAAAAAATCTTTGATACTACCGCTGTATCTAGATTCAATGCATCTCATCAATGAGAGCATTACACATTAGAAGAGAGAAAAAAAATTTGACATAAAAAATAATTTTAACTGTCATGTAATATTTTTATTGGTGGGATACACTGAATCTTTGGTAAAGCAGTAGTACCAAAGATTTATTCCTAGCACGTAATCGAGAGCTCTCTTTCGCACGACACTATTCCTGTTGGCATAGGCTTGCTTAAATTCCAAAGCTTTTAGCATGACGGTATGGGGTTTATACACCTTCGATTTTTTTTTAGCCCAATGAACATGAGCATTTCTACAGCAGTACCAATCCATCAAAACAATTATCGCAACACAAATCATTCTTGTTCTTCAAATTCTTCAAGAGCCAATCATCGAGGTTGAGACTGAAGAAGTTGGAAGAAAACGTATCACTTAACAAACAATCTCTCCCTATATGCAAAATAGTTTCTTCCTCAGCTTGATGACACAAAGGGCAGGATGTGGAACCCATTTGAAGCATGGCCAGGTAATTCCTCGTAGTTAGGCTATAACGGGACATCTTACAAAGGAATAGATAGATTCACCAAGGCCCCTGGAGTTTCTAAATTAATGTCCATGCACTGTCATTATGGGTTCTTTCACCCTTAGAGTTAGCAAGGGCTGAATACATACCCTTGATCGTAACTTCATTGGCACCAGGTAAAATCCAATTCATTCTATCCATTTCATTCATGGCATGTTGGGGAAGGATACTCTTGATGATTCAAATCTTTGAATAGGAAGAATTGAGGCCAACACGTTAGTATTGCAACTGTGATCCTCCTTAATATACTTAATGGCTTTTATGCCTACTTCAATTGGAGACAATGGCACAAGAGATTGGTCAAGGAGGTATCCCTCATGACTATATTTTATACACTCCTCAGACTTATTCACCTTTTAAATCTTATCTTTGCAAAAAAAATTTCAGGTTTTTGTACTTTTTTACTATCAAATCTTACAAATTTTACCTTTAAATCATTTTTATTTTTTATTTAAATTAGCAAAATAATTTTTTAATATAATTAATAAAAATTGATTGTAAAATTTATAATTTAAACTTTTTAACTAAATTAATAGTCGTTTGAATAATATAATTTTTGTTTTTATATATATTTTAAACATTTTCTATCTATGTTTCAAATAAATAAAATACAAATACAGTTTTCGTTAATTAAATATTTCTCATACTTAAAATATAAAATATAAAAGGTTACCTCATGTTCTTAGAAAAATAACCCCTTCTAAAAATTAATGTGATTTTGATATTTTATATGCATAGGTACGATTTTACTATCTGTTTCGATCTTACGGTTTACAACTTTTTTAACTCCCTTTCTAAAATCTCAATATTAACAACACAACGGTCTTCCCTACACAATTGAAACGGTCCGAAGCACCAATTTTTATATTATGTTAGGTTGAATATTACACAAAGCAACCTGCATCGATACTTACCAAGTTGCATCACACAATCAATTATTCGTTTATTTCAGTTTTATTAGATAAGAGAAAATGGGTGGTCTTAATAATTTTAATTTGAAATATATATCAAGATAAATATTTATTATGAACTGTAAGAATAAAAAGTTAGGTTCAGCTCTCCATGGAGAGCTTTGAATTATTTTGAAGATTTTTGGTCAAATTGATATATGAGAGAATTGGTGGCCGTATCAAAAAACACAAACAGTGCCGTGCCGCGTATTATATTTAAACATTGTACTATAATAATTGGAGAGAAGGATAATTGAATCAATATTATATAGAAAGATACAAAGCTGAATCATTCATAATAAATAAGTAAAATATACAGAATATAATAATCAAATCGATGAATCGTCCATAAGAAAAAAAAGAAAAAAGAAAACTAAGGACAAGAATTTAAATAAAATTAAAAATTAAAAAAAAACAAAGATAACTCCATAGAAATCAGTCTAGATGAGCAAAGACGCAGCGAAAATAACGACGGCAGCAGATCCAGTGACGGTGAATCTGTTCAAAAAGGCACCGCTGGAAGGACCTTGTGCTTCAGATGGTGGAGAAGAGATGGACGATGGAGAGTTGGCAGGAGCAGCAGAAGGTTGATTGGGTGAAACCGATGGTGAGTTAGTTGATGGAGAGACCGCCGGAGACGGAGACACCGCATGACCTGTCTTAGCTTTCCTCGGTGGAGTGGCCACCGGCGACGAAGCTGGAGATTGAGCCATTGTGTAGCTCAAGAGCAATGCAGCCATAAGCACAAAAACAAAAGCGGAGCGAGCCATTATAAAGAGAGAGAAAGTGAGAGCTAAAAAAAGTTGAAGCAAATGATAAAGAAAGTATGAGTAAGAGAATCAGAAAGACAGAAAATTGTGTGTGAGAAGAAATAACGCAGGTAAGAGGGTATTTATAGAAGAGTAACCGCGTGAAAAAGTGAAGACGTGGTTCATGCGCCGGCCGAAATTGGGCCCAGTCGCCGTTGATGTAGTCTCACGATTGTTTCTTAAAATATTTAAATCAGTTCATAGCTTCGCAACTAGTCCAATTCGGGATAGGATTAAGGCTTTAAACCTTTTTTAAAGATAATTTTAGTAAAGATCGAACACATGCTCTCATCCTCATCTGCTCAACTATCATACGCCCAACTGAGCTACCACCATTTGATACAGTCTCACGATTCTAATATGATATAATCGTGATGTTTATAATTCAATTAGCTAGTATGCTCTTAAAAAATAAAAAGTAAACAATCTTTAAAATTGAAACCTAGCTGATTATAAATTAAATTTATATCAATTAATATTAATTCACCTAAAATAATATTATATATCAGTCAGCAATAATGTACCTATAATAAGGAATAATACCAATAAAAGTGGTAAGTAGCTTATTTTTTCTTACTTACGAGTCTCGAGTTCGGATCTGAAAAGAAAAAAATTAGTCTTTTCTATAATAGGTTTGACAATACTCGAACTGAACTAATCGAGTAATCGATTAATTTATAGGTATATAAAAAAAAAACAATTCAAAAGAAATCATTGTTAATAATTAAAAGAAAGCTTTTCATTTACAAAAAAAATAAAATAAAATAATTCAAAAAAAAATTTAACATTCAGTCGAGTAAAATAAAAGTCCTAAATCTAATTTGCATCATTAATTGATTGTGATACTCCGCAATTTGTTTTGAACTCAGGGAGTTCTCAATCTCAAAAAATAATTTACTTATTTTACAATAATAATAACATTTTACTTTGTAACATAATGAATATTATAAATATAATTTAATGAAATTTCAATTATTTGAACAACAAGTGCATGCAGGTGCAGTTTTTAAGGAAACTTTTTTCTCAAAATAAATTTATCTCTAAAGTAATAAAGTAAAAAAATACATTTATTATTAATTTTTAGTAAAAAAATAATTTTACTTAATCACCTTAGAGATAATTTTATCTTCAACCATTTAACTATTAGCTTCCCTTAAAGTTTTTCTTTCCTTTTTATTTAAATAATTAATATTATGTTTGATATTATATGATTTAGTAATTTTTTGTTGAATTGAAGAGGGGAACAATTGATCCAAAGCAACATGACAGGTCTTACAGACAGGAGAGACATTAGCAAAAGAACAAAATTCAAATGCCAGAGGAGAGGAAGGAAACACTCGTAAGTAGTCATTCATGGAGTGATCCGAAGGGAGCTTCGATAACCAGCCCGCACAATCGTTGCTCTCTATGAAAGAATGACTCAAGTGAATGTCTCATTCTTTCTTTAGTCATACTCGTATTCAAACATTACACGTGTCTCATGAAATGCACCACTTTTTTTAGTGAGCAATGTGATTACAAAACTTAAATCACTTTCTATGATGATACAATGCCAACCTCCAACCCAAGTAAGCTCTATACCTTTAAAGATGTCCCACAGCTCCGCTACAAAAGTTATGCATTAACTTATATTATAAAAGAAACCGTCCAACCATCGACCAACAACATCCTTAAATAGCCCACCACAAGCAGACCCACCATTGATTTCCCTATAAGCTCTGTTAATGTTAATTTTCACTTATCCTTCTTTCGAAGGTTTCTAGCTGATAAGGATATGACCGAGAGCTCTCTTGGGTACAATTTCCAAAGGAATAGACTGATTTGCTGAGGTCCTTGGAGTTTTCAAATTAATGTCCATGTACGATCATTATGGAAGATAGATATCAACGATATAACTGACTAAAAAAATGTCAACCTTCCTGCATGAGAAAGACATTGCGCCTGCCAACTCCTTTATTTCTCTCTACCTCTATCAAGACCCCTACATAGTTATAGACTCTTGGTAATCCTACTACGTTGAATCATAGCCTCTAAACGAATCTTTGGTACTACTCTTGTGGCTCTTTCACCCACACTAGGAGTTTTTATTTCTTTAATTTATCAATTTGGTATTGGATTAAAGATATTTAGTGACGCGAGAAGAACTCAGCGTCACTGAGTGCCGCTATCATCCCCTCGCGTCACTTTCACTTTTTTTATTTTATTTTTACTTTTTTATTGAGTGCTGCCCCTCCCCTGTGGCACTCAAAGAATTGTGTGCCAAGTGACACAATCTGGTTATTCCTATTACCGTAAAACTTTGCAAAGCCATAACTTTTGATTCGGGTATTCAAATTAGATGATTTTTTTTTTTATTTCACATAACTTTTCGAGATCTACGCAATGACGTCTCATTTGACATATTTTATCTTCTATTAATATAGTTCCAATTTGCAACACTAACTACACTTTTTTACAGATTTGAATTATGTTTGTGAGAGATAAAATATGTCAAATGAGATGTCATTGCGTAGATCTCGAAAAATTATGTGAAATCAAAAAAAAAATCATCTGATTTGGATACCCGAGTCAAAAGTTATGGTTTTCCGAAATTTTACGGTAATAGGAGTAACCAGATTGTGCCACTTGACACAATTCTGTGAGTGCCCCCAGTGGAGGGGGCGACACTCAATAGGAAAAAGTAAAAAATAAAATAAAAAAAGTGAGAGTGACGCGAGGGGATGGTAGCGGCACTCAGTGACGCTGGGTCACCCTCGCGTCACTAAATGATCCCAATTCGTAAATACCTTGAACCAAATACCAAATTGATAAATGAAAATCACAAAAAACCTCAATCGGTCAAAGAGCCCTACTCTTGTACCAAAGATTCAGTGCATCCCATCAATGAAAACATTATATGTCAGTTAATTTTTTTGTTCTGTCAAAATTTTTCTCTCTCTGTCAAATTTTTTCTCTCTCCTCTGATGTGTAATACTTTTGTTGATGAGATGCACTGAATCTAGGTACAATAGTAATACTAAAGATTTAATCCCTAGGTATATCCTAACATTTGTAACCCACTCGAACTCGCTAGCAATAGTAATTCTGTTTGCCACTTCCTTAGACGTGTTTTTTGAAAAATAAACACAGATTTTTTGCTCATTAACCTTTTTTGACCTAAAATATCACTAAAGAGACTAAGGCATCTTAGTAGAACTTGCAACTGGTCCTCTTAATTTGGCCTCCATGAACAATATCAAGTCATTTTAGGGCCACCATTCCCAACTCAAATAGGATTCCAAAGTCTACTCATTCTTGTTTCTATAATATGAGGTAGTTTCTCCAAAGCCATGATGAATAGGTATAGAGACACAGGGTCTTCTTGCCTCACACCCTTACTCCGTTGGAATTCCTCTGAGTCCTTCATTCCAGAGAATATTAGTCCTAGACGAGGTAATCGCTAACGTAATCAACTTGACAAGATTCCCATGAATTTGAACCTCTTCCAGCACTTTACGGATAAATTCCCAATCAAGACAATCATATACATTCTTCAAATCCACCTTGACTGCCATGAAGCATTTCCTCCCTTTATGTGCCGCATTGAGTGAACAAGCTCTTGAACAACTATTATTTTGTCTTATATATGAGCTTGTATTCCATAGGACAAAGAGAGATGCGACAAAACTAGAATATATGGGAAGGAGACTGAGTTTTCGAAATTAATGCTACCAATGTACAGTTTATTTTTGTGAGAAGGTCAAGTTTAGCCAAGGTTTTTTTTTTTTTTTAGGTAAAGAGTTTAGCCAAGATTTGAATGAACAACAATATTACTTGAGGTCTGGGCACCTCCCAAATTTTCTGGAAAAAAGCTATTGTGAAACCATCAGTTCCGGGGCTTCCTATATCAAATAAAAATTGATCTTATTTGTAATATTTTTTTTTATAAATTTATAAAAAAGAATTTACTTCAATTTCGAAACTTTTGAAATTTTATTTAAAGTTATAAAACAAAATTGATTGATTCTAAAAGTGGTCATAGAAGTTTATTTATATTTAGTCGAACTTGAGACAGTGTGATTTTTAAATCAAGTCAATTATATTTATTATTAATAATGAACACAATGGAAGAGATTAACTCATGATTTGCAATATTTTTTTGTCAAAAAATAGTAGGGATTTAAAAAAGACATCTCAGTTGAAATTCAGGATATACGAAAATTTACATTAATATTTATCTATCACCACCTATCAATAGAAATCAGTGACAACGATTTATTGTCTTTATATCACTTTCCACCACCCCACTCATTTGTGACCTTTGAATGACGAAATATAAAATTTCTCACGTCCAAATGTGAGAATAGTTAATTCAAAATGGGTCGGAAAGTGCCTCATCACTTGTGTTTCCCCGCGTTATGTCACAATCTGGTCACCGATTGAATTCTATTATTTTCTTCTTCTTTTTTCCACATATATTCAAGAAGTCAATCCTGTTAGCTCTCCTTTTCCTCTTTTCGTATGTTTAAGTCAATTCTCTCTTGTTAATCTTTCCTCAATAACTTCTAAGGATCATCAACCACATAAATGAGAAAAATAGCAGTCAAAACATCAATATTAACCATTAACTGTGACAAGGTACAAAAAGGAATTTATTTATTTAATTATCATATACAGCAGGGCTACAAAAACATGTGATTCTTTCTATTATATATTATAGAGGCGACTGCCAGTGCCACATACAGGAGTTATTGTACCAAAAAGAATGAAGAAACAAGGTTTAATAGTCGAATGACCTCGACTCCGGAAGCAAGATAATGAACCCTATATAAAAGGCACCAAATATAGAAAGAAAAAAAAACCTGAAATTTGTATAGGCATTAACCTTATCTGTAACTTTGTTTCAAAGTGAAGAATGTTTGGAGAAGCCTATAATTTAGCAGAGCCTGCCTGACTAAAATCTGGCAAATGAATTAGAAAAATCAAAATCACAAATAGAATCATGTTTCTATCACTTCCCTTCATCTGCGTCTGATATAAAATTGTGAATATAGTAGAAAATGAGCAGGTTTATTAGCCAGTAACAGCATTAGAATCATCAACACTACTGGATTTACCATTGCCACTGTCATGACTGCCATAGATGTGGCCCATTTTCACACGTTTGGTCTCTAAATATCTCCTGTTCTCCGAAGTGATAAGAGTCACTAATGGGATCCTACCAGAAACTGTCAAACCATAACCTTTGAGACCAACATATTTTGATGGATTGTTTGTCATCAGCTTCATAGACCGCACACCCAAGTCCCTCAATATCTGCAAGTAGAATTTCAAATTCAAGATCATTCCTGTGAACTTTCCTAACAAATCTAAATCACCATGTATTAAAACAGGTCAAATGCTAAGTGAGTATAAGATGTCAGATATCTAGTTATTAAGCATTTCTAATATATTACCTGCGCCCCAATGCCATACTCCCTAGAGTCAACAGGCAATCCCAACTCCTCATTGGCCTGTACAGTATCCCGTCCATCATCCTGTAGGTTATAAGCACGAAGCTTGTGGCCCAATCCAATGCCCCTTCCTTCATGTCCACGGAGATATACCAGTACACCCCTACCAGCAGCCTCAATCTGTTGCATTGCAAGTGCAAGCTGTTTTCCACAGTCGCATCTGGCAGATCCAAATATATCTCCTGTCAGACACTCCGAGTGTACCCTCACAAGTACATCATGTCCATCTCCAATGTCACCCTGTTAAATAAGAAACAGTCAAAATCACAAAACAGTTTCAAGTTTACTAATGAACCAAGCAATCTAAATCTAAATTTGGACGAGCTTGCCAAGGCCAGAGATTGCAAGCTCATCGGGCTTACCCACTAACTATTTACTAATGAATTCCTTGTTGAAGACAAATCCGTTTAGCAGTTAATCGATTCATAGATTAAACCAAATAGGCAACCCCAACCTTGCTGACAATAATTTGGACAATTACAAGGAACTGGTATTTTAAGATGTTTCAAATTTACAAAGCCAAATGGTCATCTTTGTCAATTTTACAAAAACGAACACTCGTTATAAAACAATATGGAAACAGCCCAGCCCAAAACATGTAGAGAAGTGAAACCTCAAACCTTGAGAAAAAATCAGAATTGTCTATTAAATATGCCATATATTGGCAAAAAAAAAATTTAAAAAGAAAAGGTACATATCTCACTGTTTTCAACTTCACCACGTTCTCAATCATTTTCTAGCTTTGGGTAGATCAGTTGACATTTAATTACACAAATTATTTACTTCCTCCTCCTCCCTCTCTCTCTGCCTTTTTCACACACACACAACTTCTAGATCTTCATCAGATTTGTGCCACAAATCCAACTCTCAATAAATTGGCTTTTGCTTAAACCATTCAAATTCTAATTTTAAAATTAGATTTGAAATCTTAAGAGTGAACTACTATTGTTAATTACATCAGCTTTAAGTTTTCTATCTTGTTCTTTGAAAGCACAAGCATAAATGTTTGTCATGCTTTGATTTTGTCTGTGTCACTTTCATGAATTCAAAATTCATCTATATATAAACAAGTATACAGTGTAATTTAGGAGGATGTTGTGATATTTACACTGCTTCCATTTGCCAATGATTTTTAATCGCATTTGCAGAAATAAAATGTAAGCCAAACCATAGGTTAATAAGGTGAGATTTACTTTAGAGTAACATTTTATGCAAATTCCCACTGTGAAGAACGTTCAATATAAAGTATAAAAACAAGCAATGCTCACCTTAACCATTGCAATATGCTCAATCCCGTCCAAAAGTGACCTATAACAGTAAGCAGTGAATGGCCCCCACATTGTAGGTATTCGTGCGGCAGAAGGATGACCCACTAATTTATCTCTCTTTCTTCTATATCTGCCATAACATGAAGTTTTAATCTCCTTGCTAAATAACCAAATAAGAAACAAGAAGTATCCAAGGTAGCAAAAGCCTTGACAAAAGAGACTCAGGTAAGGAACACAAAAAAAATTTACGGAAGAATAAAATAACCACTTAGAATTCTAACTTTTATAAGAAATTCTTAACTCAATGAATCTAATGCAGGATCAACAAATGGAATATTAAAAAAAAAAAAAAAGGTTTCCATTTTCTTAGTGATATATAAAATTCCATTCAGTGAAAAAGGAAAAAAAGAAAAAAGATTTAGACCAGAGATACCTCACAAGCAATCATTGTATTTGACTGATAGTTGTATCCTCAAAAGACAAATATAAGTACATTAGACTACAAGTTAGTTCCATTATGTAGTCGAGATTTAGGCATATAAATTATGATGTCGGACTCTGTTAATATATATATATATATATATATATATATATATATATATATATATATATATATATATGTAAGTCAACAAAAGGGATTTAAATTATGGAATCAGCACTTGAAAGAAAATCTAACCTAAAAGACATCATAAGTATTCATACAATGAATTTTATTACATCTTCCATGAAATGTAACCACTTACCTTATTAAGTCAGCAATAGATACAATTTTCAAATTTTCACGCTTTACAAACTGGCGAAGCTTTGGCAATCTAGCCATGGAACCATCATCATCTACAATCTCACACAGAACTGCCACTGGATCCAAACCAGCAAGTATGGCAAGATCAACAGAAGCTTCTGTATGTCCAGCTCTCTTCAAGACACCACCTTCCCTGTATTTTAGCGGGAAAATATGGCCTGGGCGGTTGAAATCACCCGGGGTTGAATCTCTAGATGCAAGGGCCAAGACTGTAGTTGCCCTATCTTGAGCTGACACCCCTGTGGTGGTACCATGTTTAGCATCCTGCACATGCATTTTAAATTGTTGAAATGTATCGACTTTCATCAATAAATGCCTAAACTACGTATCAAAAGAGAATTCCAACAACAACATAAGAGACCATAAAATTTAAGTAGTCTTTCTTGACTTTAAGCCGTCTTGCTAAATTATAACGAATGTGCCTTAAATGCTTAGACATAAAAGCTATCAAGTGCAACAAACTAAATCCATTATACAAGTGCAGCTCGATAACAATTGAAGACCTTAGTCGGAGAGATATGGTATTAACTCCACATGTAAAGATGTAAGTAAGAACAGTAGTACATACCACTGTCACAGTGAATGCTGTACTAAGTTTCTCCTCATTATCCTTACTGTTCACCATCAAAGGAAGTTCCAATCTATCCAGATCTTCCTCTTTCATGCTTACACAAACTATCCCAGTTCCATGCTTCACAATAAAAGCCATAGCCTCGGGTGTTGCCAACTGTGCTGCCATTATCAAGTCTCCTTCATTTTCTCGATCTTCATCATCTACAACCACTACCATCTGCATCGTTAATATCAGTTAATAACAGATATCTATTACAATACTGACCCAAAAGAAAAACTTTAACCCCATGCACCTCTGCTGTGCTAACAAGAAGTTATAGAAAAATAATAATTAATTATTTTACCCAGAGAGAGAAAGAGTAGCAACCTTTCCCTGGCGAATGTCTTCAATGGCCTCAGGGATGGAAGCAAAACCTGGCGTGGGGTTGTCCAAATCAAATTCATTGTTGTCATCAGAGAAAACATTGCTTGTAAGCGCCGTGTCGACTGTTTGTGTTCCATCATGTACCTCAAATCCAACAGATCCATCACCAGCCAGATTTTTAGGTATCACCACATCATTGCTAAGTGGATAAGAAAGTAGGTCACCTCCTCCGGAGATCAATGTAGCTTTAATTCTATTAACAGAATTGTCACTCGAGAGAAATTTAGAATTCAGTCGGACAAAGGGAAAATCATTGAACAATTTGAAGTGTTTGCATGCCCTACATTGAATAGAAGAGCAGATCAAAGGTCAACTTAACAATTGTGACATCCAAACATAACATTAAAACAAAAAAAACCAAAACAAAAAAAACAGAAAACGTAAATTTATGAGCACAGGGATACAATGAACAGCTATTCAGCTAAAATATGTGGTGTATGACATGAAAGATAAAGCATCTTTAATATAATAAGGCAGGGCAAGATGCGCGAACAAAGTTGTAGTCCAGAATTTGACCGAGACTGCATTAGAATCAAACAAACAGAGTTCAAAGGCGATTCCTAGCAAAGTTTTACATCTAAATTTCAAAACATTACTTGACACAATTAAAAAAAAAAAAAAAAAACAGAGAGAAATATCCATTTTTTACTCAGCATAGTACCAGTACAATCACCCAAAAATGTTCCCTCAAAAGTATACTTTCAATTTATATTTACAAATTTTTGTTTACAAACTCTTTATATTATGTTTCACCGGTCATACTTTAAATCAATAAATATATGACCGATCACACTCACACTTAACGTAATTGGTAAAAAAAAAAATATAAAGGAATCGTTACTTATTAATGGACGAACCCACGTGTCCTACAGAAAGTCAACAAAAAAGAGGGATCTTGCGCCGAATCGTGTATCACAAAACATCGAATAGCCAAGATGGTTTCTGATGATTAATCCCAGAAATGAAAATGCAACAAAACCCATAAAGAAGAAGAAGAAGAAAAAAGAAACAGATATTGGGTTTAGAGTTTAGAAAGAAAATGAACAGAAAAAAGCAGAAGACTTGATGCTCAAACATGCAATCACAGATAGAATTAACATATTATTATATGCCAACCTGAGCTGGTTCTTTCTACAACAACCCGTAAGTTTCTTTGTTCCAATTTGAAGAAAAGAGAAAGAGAAAGAAAGATTGAAGGAAACTCACCGCGGACACGAGAGGGCTGGTGAGGAAGAATAAGAGAGATTGAAAGAAGCCATTGTTTGCTTGCACTTTGGTCCAAAGATTTTGCACTTCTTACCGAAAATTGGTGTGTTGTTTTGGTTCCTCACTCAACTATACACAAATGCATATATAATATAAGAGTAAACACCCTTTTTATCCCTGTTAATATCTACGAAGTCCTTTTCAGTCCCTGACAATAAAAAAGGATCAAATTAGTCTCTGAAAGTACAAGAAAAAGACCACTCTACATATTTGGGAGTTGACATAAGGACTAACATGACCCTTTTTTTGTAGACCAATTTGATCCTTTTTTATTGTCAGAGACTAAAAAGAACTTCGTAGATATTGACAGGACTAAAAATGATGTTTACTCGTAATATAATTGGAGCTGAGCTGCACGAAACAACGCCGAATCTTTTATATAATATATAATATTGTTATTATTGTCTTCCTTTATATCTCATAATATAATAATACCACTTGTCGAATTTTTTACCTGTGACTCTGTGAGGGTAGGTTCATATTGAATAAAGTATGATATTTAGAATAACTTCAACTCTTTAGCTTATTATATTTTAATTATTCAATTATTGGAAATAAGTTTTTTCTGCTGTAATTTTTTTCTCACTGTATCTTAATCGCCAAAGATAATATTTAAAATGGAAAAAATATTATATTATTTATATGAATACAGTAAAAAATTTCATTTTCTGTATTCTTGCATTTTTTTGAATATTCTAGAATATTAGAAGAATAGAGAAGGGAAAAATTAAGAAAGAGAATATTATTTGGTGTCACAGCTAAGGATTTGGGCGAGTTGGATTGGTGCAGGTGGTGAGGTACCAATTACTTTTGGAAAATACAATCTCTGTGAATAGAAAGGCAAAGTAGAAAAAGATGTGCACCGAGAGAATAATATGAATATTAAAATAGAGGTTGGTATTAATTCAGATTTCAGCCTTTATCCATTGAATGGGGATGGCGGTTCTTTATTCTTTGTATTCCAATTTGTGGCGTTTCTTTGACCATGACTCTTCCTCTATTCAACGCCCGAGTCGTTGCGTAGAAAGATAAATTTTAAATTCTTAATAACTAAAATTTTAGTTATGATATAAGGTTTCTTAAATTATTTTAGAATTTAAAACTATGAACAAGAATTTTATAAAATAATATCACCATGTGGGGTGCTATTCTTAGATTCTTACTTATTGGAAATTTTTTACATAACTTATAGGACATAAATAACCTTAGTTTAATATTTTTATAACTAAAATACTCTATTTTGTTAAAGCTCTAGATGTGATACTCTACTTCACAAAAATCGTAAGTTCCTCTCTTCCCTTTCATGATGTCTTTATTGGGTTCCTTTATACTTCACCTCGCTTCTCTCTGGTAATCCCAATGCCACGATCATCTGGTTTCGACATAGAATCGACAGCCACGATCTCTGCTTCACACCATTTCCCTTTCACGTTTGTTTTGCTTTGGTAAGTTCTCTTCCTCCGTAGACATAAAGTTTCTCTTCAATATTTCTAATGAATGTTGCGAGTTAAATGATAGAAGATGCATGTCTCTATTCCTGACTCTCTGTCTGAGAACACTTTGGAAATTGTGTTTATGAAGACCTTCTATAATATGAAAATGAGCATGGTCATATAAACAATGAGGAATGAGGGTTATGAAGGGGAAACGTTGGCCGGTTCCATATATAGAATTTCGAGGTGGATCATTGAAATATCTATTTCATTTGAACTTATGCATGTTGAGATTTATATGCATGGTTATCACGAAGATTAGATTCATTGATTAATAAAGATGAAGGTTTAATTATTAGAATTTTGCATGTTGTCTTTTGTAAACTATTAGTGGTTTGCTTTTAACTACTTTTTTCTCCTCTTTTCTATGTGTCTTGTAATCATTAATCATTATTTTGTCTTCTATCAGTTCATTTATTCCAAACAAGCCATGATGTGGCACAGTTTTTTTTTTAAGAAAAACAAATGATAGGATACTTATCGTCATAAAACAGATAAATCGTTTAAATTTGTTGGGTCTCCTAGTCCTTCATATTATAACAATGCAATCCAATCTAGAAGGGTAAAAGAGTTGTGATTCTCATTTATGCAGATCTTATATATAACATACATAATTCAGATAACTATGCTTATCCTGTTTTAAATCCAATCAACAAGTTTCTCCTTGTATAAATTTGTCATGATAAACTACAAAATGAGGCTTAAAAGTAACTGCAATGACACACTTATACAAGAATAGTATAACATTGAGATAACTCTAGCGCTGCTGCAATGCAGCTTTGCCTTTCATATTTTCAGCATTGACTATATATTTTCAGCTTTACCTTTGCAAGCAGTTTGGCTGAGTGACCGACATTACTTGACTGGATATTGTTTGACAGTATTTTTGCAAAAATGTAAATATTATTTTTTCTTTTTCGTGTTAGATCATGGCAATGAACAATGGAATGAAGCGTAGTGTCATTGTTGTACTCATTACTTATTTAGAGTGTATGAATCAATTGACTATGTTCTTAATGAGTATATGTGTTTTGTTATTAGCCGATATTGCAAAAAGGAGAATCAGTAGGAAGATAGTAACATGGGATTGTTATAATAGGGCTTCGGTAAAGGAAGTCAATTTTCATAGAATAGTTGATATTAGTGACACAACTTGTATTGAGAATACAATGATGGACATGAGGTGCTTTTATAAATTGTGTGAGTTGCTTAAAATTGTTGAGAGGCTTGAACCGACTAAGCACATGGGTGTAGAAGAGCTTGTTGCATTATTTTTTCACATTTTGGCCCATGATGTTAAGAATAGGATAAATAAAAGATAATTCATGAGGTCTAGTGAAACGATAAGTAGACAATTCACCAAGGTTTTTGTAGGTTGTGTTACGATATCATACTGTTTTACTCAAACGACACGAGTTAGTCCCTAAAAATTCAACTAAAGACAAGTGAAAATGGTTCAAGGTAACATATTGGTTTATATAATGTTAATTTAATAATCATGACAAAACAACATTCATATTTATGTGACTTGATTACTATTATACATTTTTTTAATTATAGAATTGTCTAGGAGCTCTAGATGAGACATACATCAAGATAAATGTACTGCAAGTTGATAAGCCTAGATATCGAATTAGAAAGGGTGACATAGCAACAAATGTGTTATGAGTTTGTTCTTAAGATTGTCAATTTATTTATGTATTGGCTAGACGGGAGGGATCAACTGCAAATTCAAGAGTCCTTAGAGATGCTATATCGCGTAGGAATGGATTAAGGGTGCCAAAAGGTACTTCAAAATAATCACGACTCACGAGTACCCAATTTACACATAGTTAACTTGCCAAGTTAATTACATTGTTTCTAAAGTGTTGGTCAATTTTTGTTAGGTTACTATTATTTGTGTGATGTTGGTTACATGAATGGGAAAGATTTCTTACACCTTATAAAGAGCAAATATATAATCTTAGTGAATGGAGAATGATTTTGAGGTTGAGAATAATTTCGTGGTTGAGAACGATTTCATGGTTGTTGCAGATAGTAATAGCTTGGTTGTTGAAGATAATTTGGGTTGCTCTGGTTTTAGAACGGTCAAATTTGTTTGAGAAATTTGGGTTTGATCTCCAACGGTGCCTTTTGAGTTTTGACCCTTTTGTTACATATTAATTTTTTTTTTCAAAAATTCATCAAATGTAAGTTTTGTTAAAGAAAAATCAATCGATCATGTTACATAAAATGAAAAACAATTTCCAGTAAAGACAAATCATGATGTGAGGCCCACTAATTTGTTTTTCTCTTCTTATATTACGGGACCTATGCTGAATATTGTTTTTGTAGGAATTGTTTTTTTCATTTTTTGTCACATGACCGATTCATTTTCCTTTGTTAAATCAAGTCACATTCTCAGAAATTATTGACAATAATCAATCAAACATAAAATTAGGAAACTTGTGCCAACATTTTTAGAATATTTGGACCCAATAAACAGACTTTTTGGTAATATTATGAGAAAATTCATTTTTCCAGCATATTCTCAATAATCGTGATTCGAGAACAAAAAAAATTCTCCTCTACAAAACGCTTTTATACATTTTTATACTAATTGTTAATCCAAACACACAGTAATAGTTAAAAAAGTAATAAAAAAGTAATTCATTTAATATCATGTAAGTATGAAAGGCATTCGAATAAAAAATTATTAGGAGGATTTAATTATAAGCATTTAAAATTTATTAATTAATAACAATGATATTTATCAATTGACTTTTGGTACAACACTGATAGATAATGAAGAATTTAATTGGCCGTTTCTTGACTTATTTTTTGAGCTCGATTTTCTGTAATTTAATATAAAATCAAAGAAATGTATAAAAAATAAAATAAAGGGATAAAATAAAGCATTAAGAACCAATAAAGTCCAACACAGTTGATAAATAGCTGTGTTTCTTAAATATATTGATAGGAGTTTGATCCCTGATCGTGTGTATAAATTTTTTTTTATTTGAAGAGATTTACTCATTTAATATGATCTTTTATCTCAAAAAGATCAGTCTTCAACTGTCTTCTAGAAGATATTTTGGAAAAAAAAATAAAGCTTTAAGAAACATGTTAAGTATGTCTTTGGTTTTGGTGAATTTTTACAAGAATTCAGCTCCACTTTGATATTTTTTTCTCAAAAAAGAAATATTATATACATTTTTTTAAATTCCATACTCTATATTAAATAGGCTAAATTATAATTTAACATCCTGTACGTAGATCCTCTTCAAAAAACCACTCTCTGCTCTTAATTGTAATAATTAATCTCCTCAAACTATGTTTGTAAAACAATTAAACATATCTGTTAAAAAAAACATCCAGTTCCATTAATTATCTCCCGTGATCACTGAAAATTGTAAATTATCATGGCTGTGGTTCTCTTATTTTTCCAAAGTTACTATTGCTTCGTCACCGTATCGATCTTTCGTTCGCTCCGCTTGTAACGTTTCACTTCTTAAACCGATGTTTTTTTCTCTTATAAGAAAAAAAGTTTTTCCCTAATTTTATTGTTTATAGGATACTTTTCGGTTTGAAATTCTTTACATCTTTTGCTGACAAATATCATTTTCATAAAAACGTTTTATTAATCTCATGTTAAAAAAAATAAATTATTTTATGACATAAAAATAAATTTGTGATCTCTATCACTTGAAAAAAAAAAAGTGATACAGTTATTGAATGTTGTGTAGAAAAAAAAACTTATATTATGTAACATAACAATAGTTTTTCCCTTCGTAAAATGCTTATACTCCCTTTCTTGTTCTGAGAATCTTGGGTCTCGGCATTTCTAAAATTTGCTAGTCTTCTTATTTGTAAATAATTTTTCTGGCATGTTTAAATTAAAATATTTCTATGCTGTGTCTTATGATGTCCATCAAACTTATAGGTTTTATTTAATGAGTTCGTTTTTTGTATGTCACATGACAAGATCATTTTCCTGCACACACAAATTAACTGTGAGTTCCACGCTTAAAAAAAAAAGTTAAACCAAAATCAGGATACGGCGCCGTATCTCAAGATACATTGTCGGATCCTTGTTGCAGGAATGAACAGTGTCATTCCTGACATATAATTCTTATATTTCCCTTATTTAATATTGTTAAAAATTAAACTTGCAACAAAACCCATTTAAAATGCATGATTTAAAGTCACTCAATTTCAATGGACAACATTGTGCAAATACCTAATCGAGAGAAATGGGGAAAGGTTATGATGACAAAAAGTTAAGGTGGGTTGATAATCTCCTTAATGATACTCCTCCAACTATAGCATACTCCATCACAAGCCATGGGGGTCAATAGAGAAAAGGAAGAAGATAATGAAAATGAAAAATGATGCTTTTTTTAGGGGGAAAATTAAACGCTGATTGCAAATGAACATAGGAATGATACTGCAATGAAGAAAAAGAAGCAAAACAGTTTCTGATTTTTGGGGGGAAAAAAGATAGAGAACTGGACAATTTTTGCTCATCAGAGTTAACAGAATTAAATATTTCTAAACAGATATGTTTAATTGGTTTAATAATATAATTTAAAGAGATTAATTGTTTCAATTAAGAGTAGAGGGTGACTTTTAAAAAAAGAATATAAGTACATGGTGTTAAATTATAATTTAGCCTATTAAATATTACAACATCTGGTATATAGTAAAAGAAAGTCTTTTGGAGCTATAGTCTAAAAAAGCAGAAAATGACGTCTATAAGGCAGATAGTCACACAATGTGTTATATACGAAAAAAAGAAACATGCCTTTATTTATATATTTTATAAGGGGAAATGATTTGTGCCATGTAGAAAATATTTGTTTGCCATTGAGAGAAAATGACAAAGAGAAACCCAACAGATGTTGAACTCCGCTCTCATTTTTTTTTCTTTTGTTAGGGCATATTTGGTATGACGTATAAGGTCTGATAGTATAATCTTATACTATATATTATGACATTTTCAGTTGTTTGGTGTGACCATCGTATAATATAAGTTTATACAGCATAATCCATTAATACATCAAAACGATATATAACTTAATCCGGTCTAAGGGGAAGAGATAAGACCTGATAAGAGATTAGTGTATTAACATTGTTGACATGCAATTCTCAAAATTTAATATATTATTTTAATATTAATATATTAAAATAAAAATTAATTTTTCAATATATTAATTTTTAAAATATTGAATATTTTTATTTTTATAAAAATTAATTTATGTTTTGGACACACTAATCAATAAATTTTTATAAAATTTAATATCATATGACATTTTTTTGAAGAATTATATAAATTATTTATTAAAGAATTTTTTATTAAAAATATTTATTTTTATCTTATATAGCATTATAGAATGCATTACCAAATACTAGATGATATTATCTTATACAATATATTATTTTATACAACACCGTGCCAAACGTGGGATAGTATTAAAATTCAATCAGGTCTTATACAATCAAGTTTTATACTATCATGTCTTATACAATCAAGTTTTATACTATCATGTCTTATACAATCGTACATTATCCTATACTATGCATCAAACAGACCCTTAGTAGCTACGAAATATTTTCTGTCTTGTAGAAATTATTTTCCTATTTTATAAAGAATTTAGTGTGTGTTCTTTTAAATGATGTAATTTGTGTCTTTCTAATTTTTTTGACTTTATGTACTCCGAATAATATATAGTTATAATATGAAAAATTATTTTTTTTTTGCTTTTCATGTCAGTTGACGTGACTGGGAGAAAAAAAAGTAGTTTTCCATGTTATAATTATGTACTATCTAAAAAAATTAAAATATCACAACTTATATTCTTTTAAAGCATAAATAATTTTCTCTTTTATAAATAGGATAATATATTTTTTATATAGAATGAAATAATTTTGTCTGATACAATATATAAAAAATAAGTAGGATTTTTTTTTTTTTTTCCTTTTTCTCATTTTCTCAGTAGGTCTTATCAATTTTTTTATATATTATATGAGGCAATGTAATGTAACGTATCAAACGTATTCCCCTTACCAATAATTTTATTTGAAAGAATCTTATAATAAGGAAAAAGACCAAATAATAAAGGGTTGGTTAAGAAAACAAACAAGATGAGGTTAACAAGTGTCATATGATTTCCCACCACGCATGAAGACGCATTGGAAATACCGAACTAAATCATCACATGACACAACACAAGTAAGTCGTAAACTCTCAAACAAACCCAACGCTATTGTTGTTCGCTTCGCTTCTCACTACCTTCTTTTTCTTTCTTTTGTGTTTTTTTTTATTACTTCTTTCTCTTTTATCAGAGCAAAGCCATCAGCATCAGTGAACCTCAACCATTCCCATTGCTGTGCCTGCCAATGGAGAGCTTTGTACTTCAATCGCTCTCCACCTCAATCTCCTTCTCCTCTCGCTCTTCCATTCTCCATCATCGTCCTCGTCCCATCACCAGATCCAACTCGTCTCTTCCATTCAATCACCACACCCCATCTTTCAGATCATCCATTATTTCTCAACCTTTCTTCTTTCCTTCAAAAGCTTCCACCTTTAATCCTTTCTCAAAACCCCACAAGCCAATCCAAGCTTCTTCTTCTTCATCTCAACCTCCACCACCTTCACCTTTAAAAGCCCCACATATTCTTCAGGGTGCAAAGCCAATCCCTTTTCTCATATCCATAAGCATAGGCCTCATTGTTCAATTCCTTGTTCCAAAACCAGTGGAAATCACACCTCAGGCATGGCAATTGCTCTCAATTTTCCTCTCAACAATTGCGGGCCTTGTTCTGAGCCCGTTGCCCGTTGGAGCATGGGCTTTTTTAGGCCTGACAGTGTCTGTGGTCACAAAAACTCTCACCTTTTCAGCTGCTTTCAGTGCTTTCACCAACGAGGTGATTTGGTTGATAGTGATTTCGTTCTTCTTTGCTCGTGGATTTGTGAAGACTGGGTTAGGGGATAGGATTGCAACTTACTTTGTGAAATGGATGGGAAAGAGCACGTTGGGGTTGTCTTATGGGCTATCATTCAGTGAGGTGCTTATTGCACCGGCAATGCCGAGCACCACCGCCAGAGCCGGTGGTGTGTTCTTGCCAATTATAAATTCACTATCACTCTCTGCAGGGAGTGAACCGGGTAAACCAACGGCTAAGAGGTTGGGAGCTTTTCTCGTTCAGAACCAATTTCAGGTTTGGTTTTTTTTTTCTTCTCTCTGTTGTTGCTTAACCAGGATCTGTTTTGATGGGTCCTAGAATTTTTACAAGTCAGAGGAAAGAGAAAGAAGTAATTTTTTTTAAAAAGTGGGGTTTCATGAACAATTACAGGATTTTTATAGTTTGGCTGTTTCTAGCCTTTTACAGTTCTGCAACCAAAGGATCAGCTTTGTTGTTCTATCTAGTCTTCATTGACCAATAAAAAATAAGAAGAAAGAAAACTTTCAATTAATAAGAATTAAGGATAATATCATGAATGAATTGAAACAAAAGTTTCACTGTATTTTTTTAATATTATCTAAAAGCCTAGTGAGAACCTCATAGGTCCTTAAAGAGCTCTAGAAGACAATATTTTTATTTATTTTTTTCATGTTTGAAAATTCTCACAGGAAAATCTAGCAAACCTAGATGTATAGGTTGTACAGAAATTTTTTGTTTTTGCAGCTGAGCTCAAGCTGATGCCATTATATAGCTGAATCTGTATTTACAAGTATTTTTCTCTCATGATGCAATCTCCAATCATTATAAGCCTCTTCATCTCACTTAAAGACCGTAATGCCAAAATAGGAAATCTGTAATAAATAATTATTCAGTTCTTTCTTGTGTTATTCGTTGCTTTCCTTGTTTAAAGGAATTTTGGCCTCAACACTTGTATTATAAAAATTAGAAGGAAAAACCACGTAAAGACAGGTAACTTAAGAGGTTTGAACGTTTGATTTGAATAAAAAGGATGAGGTAAATATACTTTGGTATCATGTTGCTAAATGAGTATTTCAGTTGTATTCTGGGAAGTTCTTTGACAGAAAAGTTTAGATAATTGATTGCTTCTGGTTTGCCGAATTTCTGGAGATTATTAATGTGAACAAATTATTATACAGTTCAGATTTAACCAATTTCATAAGATTTCTAAGCTCTTTTCAAATTTGGCTTTTGTGAAACAACTTGAAATCTTTCTTCGGTATTGCCAGCTTGGAGTATGCTTCACTGCCTTGTAAAAATGCCTGTTTTCTTGGTTTTGTTTTGTTTTCATAAGACATGATGGCACCATATTTGCCTGTTATAATAATGTGTTACCAGCAATGATCACCATATATTCTGATGTTGCTGAATTCTCATCTTACTTGTTCTGCTTCTTATTTGCAAATTGCTATCACATGATAATGAAGTGACTTGTGCATTGCCTTTGTGACCCATGACAGTCTGCTGGTAACTCTAGTGCTCTTTTCCTAACTGCTGCAGCTCAAAATCTGCTGTGTTTGAAATTAGCAGAGGAGCTTGGAGTGGTAGTTTCAAACCCTTGGGTTACTTGGTTTAAGGCAGCTAGTTTACCTGCACTCGTTTGTCTTCTGGTTACACCATTGATTTTATACAAGCTCTATCCCCCAGAAATTAAAGATACACCAGATGCACCTGCCCTGGCTGCAAAGAAACTGGAAAGTATGGGCCCTGTCACTCAAAATGAATGGGTTATGGTTGTTACAATGCTTCTTGCAGTCTCTTTGTGGATCTTTGGGTATGTCATATTCCATCCATTATATCTACATCTATGTATATGGATGAATGGTTTCTTGATTGATTTATTAGGTTGTTGACTTTTTGGGTGGAGTACATCTGGTTTATACCCTTTAGCTTATTATGAATGCTATTTTAGGAATTCTTTCATAAGTGAATTAAATTCTGATTACAATGTGATACCATTAGTAATATTACGTTTGATTTGATTTCATTCCAAACTATACTAATGTCACTCACCATTCCTTCTTTATTGACTGTGAAAGAGTTCACTTATATATCTGTAGATTGTTGTTTTTGACTTTTTGTTTCAATGCAATTTTTCCTAGTTTACTATCAGTATTTTTTTTGGTCCTGCAGAGAGACTCTTGGCATAGCAAGCACGGTAGCTGCGATGATTGGGTTATCAATACTCCTCATATCAGGAGTCCTTGATTGGAATGACTGCTTGAAAGAAAAATCGGCGTGGGATACCTTGGCTTGGTTTGCCGTTCTAGTAGGTATGGCAAGCCAGTTGACAAACCTTGGTATCGTGACCTGGATGTCGGATTGTGTGGCACACAATCTTCAGTCATTCTCATTGAGCTGGCCAGTTTCACTAGTTGTTCTTCAGGCAGCTTATTTCATCATCCACTACCTTTTTGCAAGTCAGACTGGACATGTGGGGGCTTTATACTCTGCATTTCTTGCTATGCATAGGGCAGCTGGTGTTCCTAGTGTTCTGGCAGCTCTTGCTTTAGGTTATAACACAAATCTTTTTGGTGCAATAACACACTATAGTAGTGGTCAGGCTGCTGTATACTATGGAGGTTTGTCCCTCTCTATAATGTCACTTAATTTCTGTCTTTACTGTTTTTCTTTTCAGCTATTTAATTATTTAGCTTGTGTTTGTTCAGGAACTTTGTTCCACTACCTATGTTTACAGTGCATAATAGTTATCCTTCTCTTAAAACTGCATGTCTATTGTATTTGGTTCTAATGCTTCATTTCTGTGTGCTCAATCTTGAGACTGTTTTTGAAAACCTTCCAAAATAAGTATTTTATGTCAATATTTTTATTCTTTTTTTATGCTGATTCTAGTTGCAATTTGTGACCAAAAGGCTATTTCTATTAAGGCAAGCCTAATCTTTATAATCAGTTACCCCGTTCCCCCTTTTCTTATGAATTTTAAGATATGTTCAAGCATGGTGGCTGATATGTTTTTAATTCTTCTTTTTCAACAGCTGGTTATGTAGACCTTCCTGATATATTCAAAATGGGGTTCATCATGGCCGTTATTAATGCAACCATCTGGGGAGGTGTTGGCTCTTTCTGGTGGAAATTTTTGGGCTTGTATTGATTTTCCATTTCCATGTAAGTAAATAGCAGTTTTCCCTGTATCTTTTGGCCCTTCTTCTTCTCGGCCGAAAGAAAAGGTCCTTCATTTGATTTGAGGACAGTTGAGCTCATCATTTTGACATGAAAATTTTCTGCTTTTGGCTTTATTTATTTGTTAGTTTTAGTATTGTTACCCCTGCTTTATTTTATATACAGTCATTAATATATTTATAAAAGGTTTTTAAGGAAACCTGAATTAAAGATTTGAAACTTACACAGTTACATGATCTTCTTTTGTGAAGGTTTTGCATGGTTTGATGTCGTTAGCATTTCGATTTTTTTCAACAGTTTATAATACGCCTTATTGCTTAGCTTTTTAATAAATCTTTTACATGTTTGTGCCAACTTAGGTTACTATCATATTGCTTTCTCTTTTTCAAAATATTTGTTGTTTTCGAAAAAATTGTTGTTTTCGAAAAAATTGTTTCAATTTATTTGTCAGTTCAGAAAATTAAGAAAGTATTAATCATGTTTTTTTTTTTCAACTTTTTTTTTTTATCTTTTGATATTTTCACTAAATAAAATGGGAGAGTATTAAGGGAGTGAAAATATATTGAATATTTTAATGAAAGTTATGACAAAGTATCCGAATGACCTCAAGAAAAGAGGTAACTAAATTAAATTTAAAAGAATTTATAGAATGTCATCAACCTATAGAATCGTCATCAATTTTTTATTTTTAGCTGCAGCTAGCACATTTCAATGGGGCTGCAATTGAAACCAAGCCTTTCCTTTTGGAAAAAAAGTATTATATAGAAGCAATTTTTTTTTTTTTTTTTTTTGTGGTCTATGGAAAGAGAATCTTAAGGAACAAGCACCAGTAAAAAATGAAAGCTTTCGTAATACATAAATACATTTAACTCTCAAGAAAATTGTTTGTCTTGCTGACATCAAGTCTGATAGAACCAAACTTTCTGGGGTTGTAGCGTATGTATCCAGTGCCAAAAGATACATCTAGAAATATAATGTTCGAAATTATTGAAGTTTTTGGCCTGCAAATAAAGGTATCCTAAAGACCCTAAAAAAAAAAAAAAAAAACTATTGAGTGAACCATTGTGTCTGCTTTTCTGCAGAGTGTCACCTTTTCAGTCTTCACTTGGGGTGAAATGCAAACTTGCATTTCTTATAGAAGGTTGAAGGACAGAAAAATGTCTGTTTCAAATACTGGAAATCAAACAAGGACATCAGTTTTGAAGATATGGAAGAGACAAGAGAAACTTCTTCTCACGACCCAACTCTTTTTGGTTTTTATTCCCATGAAAGTAGGGAGCAGATGCAAGGACATCCAACTAAGCAAAGCAGAAGGGGGTCTGTCTGTCCATGGATTCCCAGTTGACCAAACAAAAAGATAGAACAGCTCTGAATTAATATGGAGCACTTTTCTTCTCCCCCCCAATCTCCTCTTGGGAAATGCTTATAATTAGAAAAGTCGTAAATGTGTTTCTAATAAATAAAGCAAGCACACAAAACATTTGGGTAGTACATAGCATTGTTACATGGTTGGTAAATCATCGTCGTACAAATTGAATGTTATTCTGTCGAGTATACATATCAGAAGTACTCAACCTGAGTCAACCAACTGTTCACAAGAAACAAAACTATAGATAAGGCGATGATAGTAAAGTCATCTATATCGTCTGGTAACTAAAAGAATGTCCTTTTCCCCTTCAATGCTACAGCAATCTATTCCATTGTAATAAAAATAACAAAGTCAACCAAACAAACAGAACTACTTTCATGATATAATATACAAAACTTCCATGTTGTTTTCCTGTCTTCCTTCAGCCCTCCATGCTATTCATATCAGAAAAGTCATCTATTGATCCCAATTTTTCTAGGATCAATCTTTCTTGCTTAGCATCTGTTTTATTGTGTAGTAAAGAAGTTCTTGTTGAAGCAATTAAAAATGCTGTGGAAAGTGTACAGAGCACAATACAACAATATTACTTAGTTATGCACAAAATGAAAGGTCATTCACATGCATTCATTGGCTCTAAAACTTACGATCTCTACTTCCCGTTGTTCTCTGCTGCACATAGATCTCTTTCAACCAGTTTGAATGAAATTACTATGAGTAAAGATCAAATCAAAATTTTCCATGCAAACTAAATGAAGAACACTACTTATCCATATCGCTTTATTATGTTTGAGACAAAAATTTTAGACATTCAAATTACCACAATATAAATGGCTTTACTAAGATTTTGGTTTATATCTATAGATCCATTTACCCAACCCCAGTTAGTGGGATAAAGCTGGGTTGTCCTTGTTGTATAAAGTTTTTGTAAAGCTACATTATGCAAAGAAGGATACATTCCTGATCAGGGTTGTCAGTAAAATTGGAATGCAGAGCATTCCCAATGCAATCCACAATAGCAGAGGTAGTCATGGAGGATTCTATGCATAAAATAGCTGTGATGGCATCTAGTCGAGTCACCTCATTTCTGAACATCAGCCTTGCATGAGCTGTGACATTTAAAGAGTCAAAGCACATAAGAGGTGTAGGGAAGTTGACCAGAGAAGTTTCACCACAATGCCATTCACATACCTTGAGCTAGGCGTATCAAACTTTCCAGCATGCGGACAGTTGTCCTTGCTACATTGCAAATTTATAACTAAATAAAACGACATAAATTGATTATTAAATCTATTTAGAAAAGACATGTTTCTAGGTCAAACCTGCATTTTGAGTTGCAGATTTCCTTTGAAGTTGATAATAGCTGGATATAACTATTTCAGCCTCTCTCGTAAGAACTGGTCTGAAATTTTCTTTCACATAGTGTATATACCTGCAGGATTCTTTGCAACATTATGAGTAACCAAGAGTCTTACAAAAGCATCAATATTAAAACTAAGAAATTCAGAAAAAAAATCTGATCTATCTAATGTTAAAGCGTTCTCTAGGACAAAAGGAACTCAATGGAGATTGAATTTTGCATACAACTAGGTCACCATAATTTTCATTATTTGTCCATGAAAATAAATGGTTTATCTTAATTAAATATTATTTTTGAAATTAACAAGAGTCTACTTTCCAAAAGGAAACAAATCAGATAAGCAAGGGAAGTTAAATTAGAGTGCAACAACCATCAGTAAATCAAAGCTGAAAAGCTTGCCCACTGTATGATGCTCAAAGTAAATAACAAAAAGATTGGGGCACTACAAGTTATCCTAAAATTATAAGCAGCTTCAAGATGCCAACATAATAACGGAGCAATGGGACTCAAAATCAAGTTAGAGAAGAGAAACTACATGTAAATTATAGATTCCGAAGTTGCTGGCAGAGCTTAAAGATGATCAAGAATTAAGAGACACCTAACAGTGTAGCACCAATGCAAGATAGGTTCAAGCGTCCTTTTATTTTTATTTTTAAATCTGCAAACATTGTTATCCATGGCCGTTAGCCTCATACTTTACCTCTTGAGTGTAGGAAGAGGCCAGATGTTTGCCAGATCTTCATCACTGTTGGTTCTATCGGGTTCTGCCTGAATATTAGTTTTCATGAGTATTATAATCTGTAACCATAGGAAGCTGATGCATTGTACAGGGATCCAGATTACCTCAGAAAGAATATGAGATGAAACTACTGCGTCCCATTCAGGATTCTTTGTATCCAAGAGCACGAGGACAATATCAAACCTGCTTAATAAAGGACCGGAGAGTGTTGTATTGACAGACAGAGCTACCTTGTGTTAAGTGAGAAAAGTATTGAACTAAAGCAATAGTAAACTACTTTAGAAATTTAGCAGCAATCAGTGTGGTTGATATAGTGATTCTTCAGAAATTCCTAACCTTGCAGCAAGACTAAAAAGCTTGATGAACTTGAAATTTACATCAAGAGTAACAGGGATCGTAGTTTGACATTAATTTTAAATAATATTAAGCTAATATATACTGATTAAAGGGATACGTTGATCAGGATCATAATGTCCCTTCGGATTTGTGGCGCCAAATACAGTTGTTCTAGTGCTGAGTGTTGTTACAAGACCAGCCTGGATGAAGCAAGAGAGTTAATCAGTAGCCATGCTTTTTTAACACAAACCTGCCAATACAAGATACAATTGGGTTTTGAAGAAAACAGAAGTTCATTCAGGTTTTGCATAATGTATTCAAACATTCTACCTTGGCTACACTTATTGTCTGCTGCTCCATGGCTTCATGAATCGTTGCTCTGTCATGTTCCCTCATACTGCCAAAAGAACTTTTAGTTTCACAGCCAATGCCAACATGCTAAATAATCATAAACTGATCTGCCTGAATTTCCACTAAATCTTAACTTTCATGAAGATCTAATGAGAACTGTGTCGACCAACTTAAGAGCATGGAAGTTGTGATGTAGATGAAAAGTAGAAACAATTATATGTGAATCTTGTCGAGGTCTTCAAGTTCAAAATGGAAAAAAGTGCAGTTAGAATTTAAAGTTCAATTCTCATTAAAACAAAGGATGCTCTCTTATTGCAGAGTACGGGCTCTGTTATGTCATTCATAAACGATAAAGAGAAAAACGTCAATTCGCTAAGGCACTGCTTCTGAAATGAAAGCATCATTTTGCAAAGACACAAACATCCAATCTTTAAATATAATGAAAGAAAACCCCAAAAAAATGTTCTATAATTCTTACAAACACAAGATTTCCTGAGTGAATATGCAATTAAACCTCAAACAATGAATATCGTTTCCTCTTTTGTTTTCCAGCTCCACACTTGGGGTAATCCTTGGCCATATACAAAATTTGGACAAGGACCAAACCTCCAGAAACAATTGTAAAACCAAAGCAATTACGCTTACCTATCAAATTCATCTATGCAACACAATCCTCCATCTGCCAAAACAAGGGCCCCAGCTTCCAACATCCACTCACCTAAAGATTCCATAAATTGGCCTTGTACTTAGTATAACCGACTAAAAGGTATGCAGATCCATGCATTTTGAAATTTGTAATTAATTATTTGAGCAATGTACAATTAAATTGAAGTCCACTTGAAATGGTAGACTTTAACTTAAACAATATTTTTGTCATCATCATTATCAATCATAAAATGACATGAGAGGCAAGTTCATGAAAGCTGAATGCAAAAAAGACATGTTGCATAAACGAAAAGTCCTTTATAGGACATGTACCAATAAAAAGAAAAAATCAATGACTACAAAACCAACACAACCAAGCAATTCATTATGTTCAGGGTTCCACAACAATGTTCAATGGAATCCAGGGCTGCACATGCAACTAGAACACAATCTTATCAAAAAAGGGAAATCCCAACAGTTTACTAAAGAGCATTTCAACAAACTAATTTTAATAGCGAGAGGTGAATTGGAACAGAAACAAATTTTTTGACAGATATGCAAAACTTTTTGATACAAATAGAAAAGGTTCTATTACTAAGGTATGAATGATGGAAAAAGAATCTGTTGCTGTGTAAAATAAAAGCTGTTTGAAACTTACCTCCATCCTTTACTGCAGTAACAGTCAATCCTGCACTTGTGCTTCCCAACCCAGTGGTAATAACAGATCGATTGCTCAATTTTGCAGAAAATTTTAGAAATTGAGATTTTCCAGTACCTATATAACAAACAAACAAAGACAACGAGAGAAATTTAGGACTAAATTTTTTTAACTTTTGTTTTTACCTTAACTTGATGATAAGAGCTGACAGGAAAGTCAACACATATTTCACATATATAGTTAAGAAAACTGCATTTGATAGAGAGCAAACACATACTCATAAGGTGTTAGCACGAGCTAACTCTCAATATGAAGAATAAGGTTTGAAGGTTTTTTTCCCAGAAGAAATAAGCAAGGAGGTTAGAGGGTTAGTTATGGGAGGTCAATGGGTTAGTTACAGACAGGTACAGTCACTACAGTGGCAGTCAGGAGGTTAGGTAGTTAAATAGGGGAAATTGTAATGAGAAGGCAATTTTTGGGAAGATAGCAGAAACTGAGATTGTCACAGTTGGGAAAAGGGGACAACTCTTTGTAAGAGGATCCTTCCTCGTGTTGTCTCTGTTTCAGAATACAAACACCACCATTTCTACCTTCCAATTTTTGTGGCAGTTTAACAGCATACAGAGTTCTAATAACAAAAATCCTAACAGAGAAGAACTTTGATGCCATTTTTACCTTGTGACAAGCATGCAGAAACTTCCTTTTTTTTATTAAATATTATTAAACAAGTAGTGGAATAACTGAAGCACTACAAAAGAACTTAAGCGATTAGGTAGCTCCAAAGTTACACCCAACTTTTCTGCCACATATATCATCACCAGAATGGTAGAACTCACCTCTTTTTTGGTCTACCTTATGTCACTTTGAGGGGTGTATAGGATGTAGAGTAGTATTCATCAAGCATTAAATGGTAATCTAGGTTACAAACTTTAAGTAATAGTAGTAGTAGTATGAGAGGTGGTGGTAAAAATAGCAGTAGTAATGGATTGCATACCAGGATCACCAACCAAGAGTAAGTGGGACTCCCCCCTTATCCTTGTTCCAGAAGCATCGACATGTTGCACACCTCCGATAAGTGTTAATGCAACTGATTGGAGAAACAAAAGACATGAAATGTTTACATAGAGATGAAAAGGGAAATTTCAGTTAAAGAAGTAAAAGACTGTCTAATCCTAAATTATCAAAGGAAAAAAATGATTCTCAGTTTGAGAAGAACAAATTCCTCCATGCTCTTATCCATACTAAATAAGTCATAAGAGCCATAGGTCTTAATCCAACTTATTTCATGTCAATGATATGAATTTTTAATCAAAATAAATTAAGGTCTCACATCACACTTTTTCCCCCCATCTAAGTCCTTTCTAGGTCTAACTTCTCTATAATCTCTTTTTGAAGTCATGTGTTTTCCTTCTACAATCTTTATAAGGTTCCTCTTTCGAATGAAATTAATGGATCTAGAGACACCATGTCTTCATCTTTAGGATTCCCATTTCCAATTACCTGGATCAGTTGGAAGTTTGACTCTAGCTGAATCACTCTACTCTATCTGAACAACTCATTTTAGAGTTTGCAATTATTTTTTTATTCAAAAATTTACATGTACTTAGTCCTTTCTATAAATTTTCCAATATGCACCACAATATTTTCATTTTTATGCTTTATATTTTGAAAGAATTATGCATCAAGGGACCCCATCATATGCAAATTCAATACGTTCATCAATAAAACAAGTAGGAAAACAAATGTCGAAGCAAATCCTTGAGAGAAACAGCAAGGCCGTGACCAAAACCTCCAAATAGCAAGTATCATACCTATAATAAAATACAATGAATTTCAAGGTAAATATGTAAATAGCCATAACCTTGGGTGAATGTTTTTACCAGCCAGCTTGACAGTGAAAAGACCAAATACTTGGGGGCAAATTCCTCGTAGAATAGCATTCCTCCCTATCAGTTTGAAAAGGGTTCAAAGTTTTCATCTCAGATAACATAATTCATAAATCGTAACTTTTCAGAAAAAATTTATAGTCCTTAACCAAATTTGGCATGCGAGGGGTGTGGGCAGAGTTGGATCAACATTTTAGGTGATGGATTATTCTGTGAAGTCCAGTTTCTTATGGGCAACATAAAATAATGAATATTGAGAGACATTTACAGGTTCGAAAATATGAAATTAAATGATACAAGGGATACAAAAGTTGTATTTTCAGAATACCACCTTTTAAAGGTGCATCTTGGAAGTGAAACCAAAACTGCTTGAATTTCATAACAACATCATCAGAAATATCAATTTCTGACTTCAGTTCATTGATTCTCCTGACAAGAATGAGAAAATATAAATTAAGTACAAGCTTGATCAAGGCTTTCCTTCCATTAGATCATAGTAAATGACTACATTTTATAGCATAATGCAAGTTAACGGATTCGAGTCATGTAATCAGCCTCTTGCAAATGCAAGATAAGGCTGCCTACTATAGACTCATATAATGGGTCTAAACCTGTGTAGAGTGGGAATTTACAGCATCAAGTTCCCTCTTTTTTAAAAAATCTATATATATATATATATGTGTGTGTATGTATGTACGTACATATGTATGTGATGGGCGTAAAATTAAGTGGGTCAGTTAGTTAGTTATTCTAGAATATTCTGTGAGTAGGATAAAAGGTAGGCAGTGTGTAGTGTGGGGAGGTATGTATTCAGTGAAATGGGAATTGGGAAAAGGATCTCTTGAGGCCTAGGTCTTTGGCTTTGAGGGTGAGTAGAGACCTTTGGTTTATCTTTCTGCATTGCCATTTTCTTTCGTCATTTTCAATAGTGGAGTCTGTAATCGTTATCAGTTGAAGTTTGTAGGAAGAATGTGAAGTTTGTTAATGTTCTGTTTCTCTTTCGTTATTGTGGATACTGTCACATCATGTATCTCCAAAGTCTTATTGAGTAATAGAAGTGTTTTTTTCTTGTTTATTTGCTGTTAAATTGTTGTTGCATTTGTCTGGGTTCCATCAATATGTATGTATATATATGTGAAACTTACTCTCTGATAGTCCACCTATTACTAATGTTTACACTAGAGAAATGTGGGGAGAAGTAGAGAATCAGTAAGCAGGAGCAATGAGAAAATCACGGAGGCATATTCACTAGTGGACCCAATTTCAGTGAACACATGGCCAAGGGAAAGAAAGGATTCGGTTGGAGGAGAAATATAAGGAAATTTATAAGAGTGGTGAGGAAGTATGAATTGAGTGAATGGCGTGAAAGGGAGGTGCAGACCCTCAAAGTGCTGCTTATCGACCCTCAAAGTGCTGCTTATCATTTATTTTCTTTTTTCTGTTTTGGTTCATCTACCACTTGCATTTACATTTCTCTTCACTGTTACCTTCATAGCAGTGACAGATCGATAGGCTCTCAGAGTAGGCACAACAGGAATTGTAATGGTGTTTGTATTCCGAAACAGACTACAAAAGGAGGGATCCTCTAACAAGGGTTGTCCCCTTCTCCGAATTGGGACTATCTCAGTTTCCCCCTATCTTCGAAAAAGACGCCTTCTCATTACAATTTCCCCCATTTAATTACCTAACCTCCTGACTGACACTGTACCCGTCTTTAACTAACCCATTGACCTCCCACAATTAACCCACTAACCTCCTGCTTATTCCTTCGGATCTATACCCTCCAAATTCCGGAACCTTATTCTCCTTATTGAGAGCTGACTCTTGCCTGACACAGATGGAGTTCACAGACATGAATAACGATACCTATTTCTAGTTCTTATTTTCCAGTTTTTATCAAATGATATCAGAGCATTTCACAATGTCCCCTTAGTTGCAAATGAGCTGCACGGGTGGTAATGCTGGCATTGCAGTGTTCATCAAAGATTAATCAAAGGGCTTGTGCACTGCCAGCTCATGTGGATGCTAGGGCTGTGAAGTATGGTGAAATGTTAGGATCCAATTACAAAATATAGGACTTGAGTCCCACATTGGAAGTATTCTGATGTTGGGTTTATCTGGCTTGGGATCTCGCACCACAGTGGCTAGCTTTTGTGGTGCTGTTCCCCACAATTTTTGTCACTCTTCCTTCTCATAGAACAATCATGCAGCCAATTTTATGCTTACAGGTAAGAAACCCAAAAGTATATCAATCTGTGTAACACACACCCTTTCTTCAAAAACTTAAAACTATAAGTAAAAAAAATCCTAAAAATAATATCAAAACAGTGCTAAAAAATTAAAACACAGCATTGCAAACAAAATCTTGAAGAGTTTATAGGAAGATAAAGCAAGAAATGTTTCCTAAATAAATAAGCAAAAAATGACCATATATGACTTGGATGTAGTTATTCCCATTCAATTTTGCCTTAGTTCGAGAGAAAAATGAAGATCGGCACAAATTTAAAATGCCAGGATGCTATTACCACAGAGAATGCTTAGAGTAATAATATACTGACCGCATGCTACAAACTTTGTATGTTATATGTCTCGTTTTCAATTGATCACTTTATATTAAAGAATATTTATCAACAGTTCTAATGAATACGGGGTTTCAGATTATATTTATGCTTTAGAATTAAAGATTAGTCACCAAATGAATTGGGATTCATATTTAGGAAAACAAAGTGCATCAGGCAGAAGTTCAAAGGTAGAACTCATGTTCTCTAGTTAAGGACTCAATCTAGCAGAAATAAGGCCAAGGGTTAAAGTAGCCAAATAGAGGTAAAAGGATCGCAATGTTTTTCATGATCAGCTTGACAATGAAGAGAGACTGGACTAGGGTATATTAGCATGATACTCACTGTGTGTGGAAAATGCATAGATGCACTTAGCCATGGGCTAAAACATAATTTAATAATGAAGAATGAGGGTGGAAAGTGCCGATCTATAGATCATCTAATCAAAGGGTTTTGAGTCAGATATTATGTCAAGAACCCAATCCACCCAAAAGCTTAAGCTATTAGGTGGGCTGCATGAATGGTTTTATTAAACATCCTAGATGTTAGTAAAGGAAACATAATTAGAAGTCATCATAAGCAATAAATTGAATGCTGAAAAGAATAACATCTCCTTGAAAGTGAAATTCATATCAAGGCAGTACCAAATTAAAGAACATGGGAAAGAAATGGCAAGCCAAGCTACACAAGATTCCTATAGAACTAACAAGAGAATAACCTGAAAGGAAATGATGAGAAGAACATTACTAGAAAAGGTTGGCATTTCAACCTTAGGCATCAGTGTATGGTCTATAAAGTATGGGGAAGTACGAGCAGATTAGAGCATGCATAAATAAATATATTTTTCACTTGACAAACTTTCACATGAAGAGCGCCAAAACAGAAAATCTACTAGGAAGCTTATTTTCTTATAAATTTTTTAAAGGCAAACAGAATGAGAACTTATTTTTCACCTTATATTGTTGGCTATTAATACAGGATCAAGGTCACAGCGCACATCCTTCAATTCTGGGGACCATTTTGCTGTTAAGATACCGGTGACAATCACATCATCTGCAAGTTAAAAAGAATTAAAGTCCTCATTACAAAAAACAAATATTGCATATGCCTTGGGCTAAACACATGCTATGCCGAGACAAAGGATTTCAACCCAATGTATACCATGAGTATTTCTTAATTTAATTTTTTTTTAGAAGAAAACAAATAGTCCCTATATGCTATACTATAGTAGAAGGACTGATAAGTTATTTTATTCTTTCATAGGCATCATTAACAAAAGGATATGCTATTACCACTTATAATCATATTTTAAAAGAAATGCTCCCTGAATACTCCTTTTTCATTTTTGGGTATCTACCTAAAATCATTTGTCAATATTCTCTTCCAGCACTCCATCTTTAGCTTGTGATAGACCATCAAACGTTCAGGAAATGACCGCTAGAAAAATTGCATTTTCTACTGAGAACTAAAAAAATCTATCTCAAAAAGATCCAATACTATAGAGTCAAAAGTAATAAATATATAAACATGTTAATAAAGAACTTTCCTGTTCACTTTAAAAGCTGTTGTAACCAGGGAAGCAAACAGGAAATAGGGAGAAGAAAAAGTAGACCTGGAAATTAACATGGTTTGACATACATTGTTTACATCCACGGCCAAAACAGAGAAAATTCATCATGATCAATGAAGATTATAATAAGCATTAGCCACTCAACTTTCTGTAACATCCCGAGTGCTGACGAGGACGGGGAGTGATTGCCGGTGCGAAAGGGCATGGACAAGGAGCGGCTCCTGACAGGCTTCCAGCGGGGGGTTACATGCATGAATGAATGAATCGAATCGTCACCCGAAAGAGAGGGATTCCAAAGACTGTGCAGGTATGGGACTGCACAGTTTGGGATAGCTTATAAGAATTAATTGGTACTACCTATACTAACAAGATGCATCTGCTTTTCGGTAGTCCGGATCGGAAGAACTTCACAGTTAAGCGTGCTTGACTTGGAGCAATTCTGGGATGGGTGACCTCCTGGGAAGTTTTCCCGGAAAATGTGTGAGTGAGGAAAAAGCACACTGAAAAGTCTCGTGTTAGTGTGTGGGGATAATCGTTGATTCTTGAAGCGGCCAGGCGTTACAAGTGGTATCAGAGCAGGGCCTCTCTTCCAGTACGGTGTGGTTCGAAGACGAACCAGGCGGAAGCTGGTGGGCATGTAACATCCCGAGCGCTGACGAGGGCGGGGAGTGATCGCCGGTGCGAAAGGGCATGGACAAGGAGCGGCTCCTGACAGGCTTCCAGCGGGGGGTTACATGCATGAATGAATGAATCGAATCGTCACCCGAAAGAGAGGGATTCCAAAGACTGTGCAGGTATGGGACTGCACAGTTTGGGATAGCTTATAAGAATTAATTGGTACTACCTATACTAACAAGATGCATCTGCTTTTCGGTAGCCCGGATCGGAAGAACTTCACAGTTAAGCGTGCTTGACTTGGAGCAATTCTGGGATGGGTGACCTCCTGGGAAGTTTTCCCGGAAAATGTGTGAGTGAGGAAAAAGCACACTGAAAAGTCTCGTGTTAGTGTGTGGGGATAATCGTTGATTCTTGAAGCGGCCGGGCGTTACACTTTCAAACCCTAATCACAATGCACCCTAATGCTCACTGTCACTGAGATTCAATACACTAACTTCTGATCATACTATATGTAGATCCACACCAGCATGAGACCAGAGACCAACACTAACATCCATGAAAAACAGTAAGAAATCAAATGTCAGTCAGATCACATGTCAGGTCAAGTCCAAAATCAAATGCAAGCCTATTTATAACACAAAACACATAAGACAAACAAGATTTTCCCACATGTATACAACTTATCTCCAGTAATGATTTGAAAGATTGAAAAGTCCAAAATAATAAGGCAAATACAGCAAGAGAGAAATCATACCAGATTCATAGTAAGATATCGCAGCATCCATCATTAGGAAAGTGAAATTCATAGTTTATGGATTAGATTTCTTAGATCAAGTATTGATAGATGAAAAATGGGGCTACCAAGTATTAACTAGAAACCTGCTCATAATCTTCACTACAGGCCACATGTTAAAATACCACGTATGTTATACTAGAGTTTTTAAGTAGAGGATGAAAAATTGAGGTGAATCTAAATACCTCCAGCTTTAACAACATCAACAAGGTCATCCTTCAAGATGACAAGAATTGAACGAGGAATTGCCCCAACACCAAGCACCTGTGTACTTTCTTGGATTTTTATCTCCTGATAATCATGGCATACTATAGTATTTTCTACATACTGGAATTTTGTGCCTCCGCAGGGCTTAGACTTCTGCCATTAAGAAAAACAAATAACCAACATAACCAAATGAGCAGAGGTATTCAAAGGATAAAGTTCCAAAATCAAATTCTAAGCTTCTTGGGCAAATTTGGTGATTAAATAAGTTGAACCACAAATTCCCCAGCTTACAACAAGAAACTTCACATAGTGCAAGAAAATTCTAAACGTGACACTTTGTTAATATTAAATCTTAACATATGACTGCATATCATGATTTTATTTTTTTGGGGTACTGCAACGGGGACAAAGGCCTGGAAAATGCAGGACTTAAAACTCAGATGCAGAATATACCTGAACTGGGCAAATTGACGGTAATGGTATGGAGTTTCGAGCTTCCACCTCAGGATAAACTGTGAAGCTGCGCACATGCTATATTAACTGAATATCAACAAAGTTATCATGAGGTACATGGGCATAAAACAGATATCTTTACCAAGTTGTAAATGTACATAAGTGAATTAGACTTGTACACACACACATAAAGCGTGAGCACTTAATTTGTGGATCAGAGACATATTATTACCCTCTCAAATCACAAACCCTCACTGAGAGGGATTAACCGATGATATCCTTACCGTACAAATTGTAAAGAAAAAAGAAAAGAAAAAGAAAAAACATAGGGATTAACCTGTTTTTGCATTTGTGGCACATGTACTTCCTTTCTCCTTCATGCATCTTGATTGCTCCGGACCTGATTACTATCCCTTTGAGAGTGAGAAGAATTCCACGGTGCTCCACTCGAACACGTCCTATGGTTGGAAAAGTCTCTAATTACATCAAACAAAACACACACGAATCAGTATCAACAAAGTTTTGAGGTCAAGGGAATTGTGACAAACAAGTAGTGGGCAAAAACAAACCAGGGCATTCAAGGGGAGAACCACTGATGTTAATGCGAACATGAATGAACTTTTTCTCAACCCCATTCTTGTCATCCGCCATATCTCCCAATACGATTTTCTAACATGACCCACAACACAAATCCAAGTCAAGTTTTCTCCTTTTTCTCCTTCAAATTAAATAAATAAAAGAGAATTTGGATGGGAGCAAAGGAACGGACATGGGCCCAAAGAGCAGCATCATTGAATACTTGCAAGTAGGTGTTGGGTTGGGCAAATAGGAGACGGGCAATGCGAGGATCGTCCTCCATCAACTCTGCGAAACTAAACAAGAGAAAGAGAAAGACAAAGAGGGTTGGTTTTGCAGTAAATAAAGGGAAGGGAAGGAAAAGAAAAGAAATAGTAGAATTGGAGTGAAATGGGGTACTCGACGTAAAGAGGGAAATGAAGGTTGGAATCGGGAGAAGAAGCGATGGAGAGAAGCTGGTCGGAATGATAGCGAACGAGGTAGCTCGCCATTGGCTTCTTCCAGTAACCTGGATCCGCCGTGTTCTCGCCGGAGGTCTCCATGGTTTCGGCGGGAAGGGAATGAACACGAAATAAAAATATGGCGGGTTTGGATTTATTGCACGACGAGTAGGTACTGTTAAATTTTAAAAGGTTTAATATATAAGATTACGTTAAATTTAAGGAATAAATTATTTAATTTACTTTCTTTTTTATATCTATCTTATTTATTATTCTCTAATCAATTAATATTTATTATTTTTTTCTCCTTTTCATATTCTGATATAATGATGTTGTAGAATAATAAATAAAATAGGCATAAAACAATGATAAGTAGAATAACATATACTATATAATTACATGTTAACAAACTTCCATAGCTTTTATATAATTGTGATGCTTTTGAGCAATGCAAGATTTTCTCTTATAACTGGCTATTTGTAATAATGTTACTGTTTACGAAATACATATTTTGTGTTAAAAGTGTTATAATACAAATATTATCCACCTTTTTTAACACACACAAAAAAGAAGCCCAAAGATTATCCACCCTTTTTACTGTCGACTTATGTAGTTTATGGTTATAATTTTAAACTCTTAATTCACACCGATCAAAATTTAAATCTAAAAGATTTTTCTTGTATTATCATTGTTTAATTTAGTTTTATACAACTGATTTTCTTTTGTAATATAATATGAATAGATCTCATAAAAATATGAATACCTACCATCGTCATTATAATAATAATTATTATTTATTTATTTTCGGTAAATAATTATTATTATTATTAAAGCATGAGTGTGTAAAAATGATTTAAAATATTAAAAAAATACTATTTGTCCTATTTGATGAAGTGAAAAAATGTTATTCTTATATCACAATCCTCGAAAGTTAAAAGTAAAAGCTTTTTACCAAAAAAAAAAAAAAAGTAAAAGCTAAAGAGGATGACAACCATAAAAAGTAACACTTTTTTGTAATAAAAGAAACTATAGAGTATAGACATACTTTTGAAAAATATACACCATGAGATTATAATCTCATGATGGTGCATTAGGTGAATTATTATCCTTTGATCTACCTTAAAAAAAAAATTCAATTGACCAGAATATATCTCACATTTTTACGTTTGCCTTAAAAGGATTATTAAGGACTAAAGATGTCTTCCAAAATTATGAACCTTCACTTTCCTTGTAGTTTTTTAGGGTATGTGCTTGTAACATAACCGTGTATGAAGAAGGGTACAACATTATTGAAATATATGGTACGAATCCATTCACCCGCAATGAAATAAAAATAAAATGTGCAGTGTCATGCTGATCACTGTAGGGATACAACACTTTTTTTTTGTTGCTAAAAGGGGTATCCTTGCTGTCTGAGCAAGTAGTTACAAGATCCTATCCTTTCTTCTACAAGATGCTTGATAAGTACATTTTGAATCTCTCCCAAATTTTCCCCCCTCCTATTACTATTAGTGAGCTTTTAAAAGATGATCACAGAATTCTACGTTAGAAATTTGAATTCTGTAGTAAAAATAGTCAAACTCATGTAAGAGTTGGATCATCATGATTGAAACAAGAACTCCCAAAATTCTGTTACATGATCTCACAATCATTGCAAAATTATAGGTGATAGGCACGGCTGGGAAATATCTGCTTTTGTTGAATGGATGTTGTGATTGAGAAATGATTAAGGTTCAGTGAAAAGATACTGAAGTAAGGGAGCAACAACTGCTATGCTTAAACTGTTCCCTAGCAATGCATACCTGTATAAGCAAGAAGATTATTGGTACAACAAAAACACAAGCAATATATGCACGCATGCCAATATAACTCGGCAATCTGACTCATTAATCATTCAAAGCAGGGTATTTTGAAATAACGACAACTAAAACACCAGTAACAACAAAAATAAGGTGTTTCTGCCTAGCAATGCAAAAATATTGTTCAAAGCAATAAAATGGCATACCGTTGTTTGAGACTAATGTGCTCTGGAAACACGAAATCTTCAGGAAAAGAATGTAAGTTTGCAACCTAGTTACAGGAGGACAAATACTTTCTAGATTAGCAATATGCACAGATATCAAGACAAGACAACTTGACAGACACATTCATTCATGTGCAAGCCTTCATGCATACATAGATACAGACTAACAGGATTGCATGATATTCTTGAGAATAAAAGGATATAAAAATAATCCATCCACCTCTCTTGGGGTAAAATATCTAAGGCACTGCTCCTTTAGCGATGTTTTGTCCCTCTTCATAGGCTGCACATTCAAATTTTGAGTTATCGAGGAGAGCAATTAGTGAGACCAGATTCATAGTCAAAGGAATCATTATGCAACATGAGAAACTATATATATATATATATATATATATATATAGGTAGGATCCTTTGACACCGGTGTCAAATTTTAATTTTGACACCTTATCTGAGAGCCTTTATATCAAAAAATATCAACGACTCTGATTTGTAAGCATGTGACACCATTGATCTTTTTTGATCTAACGGCTCTCAGATGAGGTGTCAAAATTAAAATTTGACACCGGTGTCAAAGGATCCTACCTCATATATATATATTTGGATATTCTTTCAGAAAAGATCTTTATTTGAGAAAATAATTTGTTAGTTATTCCAAAATCAATTTTGAGAAAATATCTTTGTACTCTTTATTTGGATATACTTTTCTTAATAAATGAAAGGAAAAAACAGAAACTAAATGGCGATTTGAAAAAGTGAATGAGAAGAAACATATTCTGCTGTAGCATCATAGTAACTATATCTAAATTAATACTCAAAACTGTTTGATATTTATTTTGAGAAACTTTTAACAACCAATGGGGTAGTCATCCCAAAGTTTGTATTATTAATTTAGCCCTTCAAAGTCACAGCTAATAAGCATAAGATATCAAGGATGATTATAAAGCACAGAATAGCATCTGAGTGCTTCAAAGACCATAAATGAGTTGTAGGGTTATGTGAATACATAAAACAATATGGTCAAGAAGAACAACTACTAAATAGAATTCCTACCTGGACAGTTGCCAAAAGGGATCCAGTTCCCTTCACATATCTGTAATAACTTTTTGTAAAACAGCAGCAGCGGTTTGAATCAGGATAGACAACATCTAAGCTCTTTTAAGGAAATGGGAGACAAGAAGAATATTGTTAATACTTTTTTTTTTTGTGAAAACATAGTTTTCAGACTATAACATGGTGATTTGAAAATGCTGTAACCAATTACTGAGGCAAGGATACCCATAGCACTTCCCCACCGCTCTACCAGGCTCGGGGGAACATAATACTGGTGTAAAGAATCATATTCATGATCATTATCTCCCCCCAAAGTTCTAGGAGTTGCATTAGATAAACCAGTCATTAAAGTTGCAGGTTCAACATCTATATCATTCCTAGGGTTCTTCAATTCAAGAAATTTCTCAATAGGTTGACATGACTGCAACAACTTATGCCTGTCCTCTTGCAATGAATCATCTTCATTAGCCACTGTATCAAAATGCTCAAATAATGGTCTAGGAGATTGAATCAGCTGGCTGTTCAAAAATTCATTTACAAAAGATGAAGGTTTTCTCTTAGCCTGAAAAAATTATACATGTACAAGTAACAGGTCAATAATCCAAAAAAATTTAAGCTAAAGGTTTGCAGCTTCAACTAGCAAGAATCCTAGTTGAAGATATTAGAATAACTAAATCTACTTTTGCCCCCATCATCTGTAAACTGTGAAATAACCCACACAATATTAGATATTTGGATGACAAACTTAAATATAAAGGTTAATTCAATTTAAATATTTAATTCAACAAGAAGACTTCCTATAGAAATCCTTGCAATAGCTGTGTCAAAGGCCCCAACAATTTTTCATTTCATTTCAGATGAAGGAGAAGAAGACATAAATTAAATTTTAATCTATTAAAAGCAATTAAGAAAAATAAGCACAGTTGCAGAAGATTACAATTGGATGATCATATCCCAAAGCATATTGCCTAATGTCAGCTGATTCCTTGATGATATAAAATACATCCAAAAATCTTTTGAAACACTGATTTCTATTTCAGAATTCAGATGAAAAGAATATGCAAAAGATCAAGAAAACCTACCAGACAAAAATAACGAGGCCTAGAATATGGGATCCCAAACTGTAAAGGGCTCAGAATGAATTCCTGTGTGATAAAATTTGTTTTTTCCAATATCTCAATCAGTTTTGCATGTGTATCAGATGTCTGTAACAAAAGGGGGAAACAGAGAAAAAAAATTGAATGAATAAAGGAAATAATTAATGTTATCAATTTAGAGTCTTAGCCAAGGAGTTGAATTCAACAAGACAAACCTCAAACCCAACAACATTTTCCACAAATAACATACTTGGAGGCTGCAATAAGAATGGCATAAGCTCAAGAATCTGAAGAAAAGAAAACGCTCTAGCATCACCAGTGTCCTTCTGGAGACCTAGCACAGGATTATTGAGTAACTTTTTGCTAAACAATAAAAAAGGGAAAAATAATCCCTAGGAAGAGAAGAAGAAAAGATTCACCTTGTCGTGTGTAAGGTTGGCAGGGAGGAGAAAGAAGCCACGCATCGGCACCATACTTGTCCAGATCAGAAGCAGTCAGACATTGAATATTCCCCTAAGTCAAACAACATAAGTATATTACAATCAGCATGAGCATTCCATATCATCTGTATGTCTCAGTATTCTAAATTCATGTAGTTTGATAATGATGGCAAAGCCAAATTCCAGAAAGAATCTTGATTGACAACAAGTTGAAAAGGAAAAAAGGTTTAATTCAGAAGAGCTATTTTAGCTTATCACGTCCATTTATGAGTAAACTTTTATAGAATGTATAAAAATAACTGAGGAACCACAACTTGTACATGAAAATAAGCCAAAAATATTCACCTAATCACAATTCATGCATGCACAAGCCTTTTGCATCACAACATTCATAACTCCCTAAGCAAAAGCTATAGTAATAGGTAAATTAAAAAGAAGCTGTACTCGAAATCAACAATTTCAGTTCCAAAAAACAAAAGAGGAAACCTGATAAGGACGATGACCAAAATTGTGTTGGTAAACATCATTTGCTCTGTCATTAATTTCAAATGCTTCCACAACTTGCGCGTTCACCAGGGCTTTCATCAGCGAGTACCTCTAACGAAAACAAAGTTACAAACACAAGCAAGCATTAACATTTGAAATTTGAATTTGCATAGATGGTTAAGGTTTTGGTGCGCACCATGCCGCCGATTCCACTGTAAAACTCCAGCACTCGCCGGGGCTCCCTTCCGCCGCCGTCTGACGCCATTCCGGTCAACCAAACCAGTCTAGGGTTGGCTTCGGTTGGGTTCTTTATAATTTTTAAGTTAGAAAAAAGATGAGGAAATAAAATACACAACATAGAATATTATCATTATCATCACTAACTGAAAAAAAAAAAAAAATATCTGAAAATATTTTTTTCAATTATATAACCATATTTATCATTTGATGACTTTGTCACAACTTACTAACTTAAGGGATTATATATTTTGTTATAAAACAATAGACATTGTATAAATTATATTACGGAGTACTATACTGTAAGGAAAAAGTAATATGAAAATGCAGCTCAAAGGAAGGAAAAAGGTTCGACGCACATTCTTTAAAATTAACTAACAAATAATTTTTTTTGATTTGAGGGTTATTAATAATAGAATTCACATGCCACCATATTTGGTCGGACTTTTAATTTTATGCCCATAATTTTTTCATTTTCTTGATTAGTTTATTGGGAAAAAAAGAAGAGAAAAATAGAAAAATCTGTCAGTGTTAAAATTCATGTCATTTCAGTTGGGGATTCTAATCCCCTATGCCTTTGCTGTTTTGCATGTTAATGATTTTTATATTTTTTAGCAGTTTTAATTTGTTCAAAATTAAAAAACTATTAAAATTGATTTTATTTATAGTTTTTTTTTTGGTAAAATGATTTTATTTATAATTTAATAGCACATACCGTTGTTGGAGCATAAAAAAAATAAAGAAAAAGTTCATTCGCCGAATTAAGATCTTAATATGCTACTATTATATGAGTTTATTATTTCTTCGTCTCATGCGATAAAATTATCTTCATAAACCATAAAATTACGTTGTTTTAGAAGTTAAGAAAAATTAATAAAGGATATTTAAAAAAATTTATTTGATTCTTGTTATATGAATTTATTCAAAAACACCCATCATTAATACTCTAAAATGACATAATTTTGAAGTTAATAAGATAACTTATTGTTTCCAAAAAAAAAAAAAAGGAAGTAACTTATCTCATGCGTGCACTCGCTTGGTTACTCTTTATAGGATCATGCAGTGTATTGAACAACACTACTTGCTTACTTAAAAGAAATAACAACACTAAGAGTGATCATATTTACGGCTTAACAAAATAAAATTCCTTCGTCCATATAAAGACACATATACATAGAGCCAAATGACTACATTGCTAAATTTTAACCTTTTTGCAGTAATCCAAGAGAGCATGCACACTCAAGAAAATCTAGTACCATGATATTCTTTACTGTTCTTAGTTAACACCACTCCAGATAATTCATCACCACTCCAGATAATTCATTCATATTCCCTTAAGTTGTCATTAATTACAAGAAAGGTGTCTCAACTTATGCTTACACATTTTATTTTATTTTAACTACCCATGACAGCAACTCAGTCGTACTAATAATCTTTCAACATACATGGATTTGGGTAGGGCCAAGTTAACAAAATGACAGAAGATGTCCTCTTTCATTCACAACTGAACTAGAACTATTACAATCATAGTAAACAAAATGATATTATATTATTCCTATCCATTCCAAGCAAGAAATCACCAATTATCATCAGCCATACTTTTTACTTCCTTTCTTCCTCATTGCCTGCAAAACGCAGCCCACAAGAGGTGAGAAAATAATTCTCAATAAGCCATGAGACCCTCACCATAAGAGTTCCAAGACCAGCATAAACTGTTATCATAAAACACATATCCAGCACAATTAAAGCAAGTATTTTGGCACATCCCACAAAATCACATCCACTTGTGCATTATCTCCATGAGATTCAGCCCAATCTAGGTTATTACCTGAGACCCCCTTTGTCTCCATAAGTGAACTCACTCTAGGAAGTTATCGTCCTAAGAGACCCTCTCTGTCTCCATGAGATTCAGCTAACCTAAGAGACCCTCTTTGTCTCGATGAGTGAACTCCCTCTAGGAAGTTATCTTCCCAAGAGACCACCTTCTTTACTTTCAAACCTAACCAGGTTTGGATATTGCCTTTATTTCATCCATTTCTCGTCATAGGAGTGGAAGCAACCAAATTCAGCATTACATATTCAACAGCCATCACATTAATCAATTATCATCTTCATCTCTCAGCAATTTCATTGCAATAGTCATTTAATTCATACTAAAACAGAATGGAATAACCATTTTAGCACAAGTAAGACAGCCACTTCCATGCACATGTCACCCATAAAAATATCTATCAATTAAGCCATCTTTTCACGACTATATTCCTCAATAGCCACTTGAATCACATGAAGTCAGAGTGCAATCAATTATTATGGCATAACAAGGCAAAACCAATTCACATGCAACTATCAAGGAACAACCAAAGGGAAAGAGAAGTCAAGGTTCACATGCTTACTTAATTCAAAGGTCAGAGAAATCAGATACTTGAAGCTAGCCCCAAATTTTCGTGGAACTACGATACGCCCAAAAGTCAACTAAAGGTCTCATTATATTTCTAAATTCCAACCTAGAGTTGCTAGAACTTTTTGTTGCTTCTTACTATGCTGTTGTTTCAAAGGCCTTCTAAACATTAATGTCCGCACATGCAGGGGTAAGAGAAGTAAGTCCAGCTTCCTTTCCTTAGGCTTTGTTACATCCAATGATATACCTCAATTGATGCATCCTCATATGCATAATGCATTCCTTGATCTTCGATCAAACAGCTGGTCTAACAGAGAGTACATAACTCTAATTTGAACCCACATGCACCCCATCATGTCTTTATAAAGCTTTTGAAAACAAGTCCTAATTTGGCCCTCCAATTCGAAAATTCTAATGCTGCCCATTTATTTAAATTTCAAAATTTTCGCTTCAGTTCACAATTTCTAAAAACTTCTACAACTGACCCCAACATTTGTTAACACTTACAAATCTATTCCACAAAAAGGAGCCAGGCAATGTGGATGTTACATTTCCTCCCACCATTTAAAATTTTGTCCTCAAAATTTGAGGGAATACTTGCTTCAAATAATAACATGTATCCTGTAACAGTTACAGTACAATTTCACAAAATTTTACTTGGGCAATCAGAGTAGCTTGATCCAAAGGAATATAAGGCTTCAATACAGAATTCTTGTTTCACAACATATCAATGTGCTTGTCAATTCCGGTGAAGCTACTAGTGTGTAATAAGTTATGTAACATCCTCTAAAAGAATGCAAAATTAGTGTCACTTATCAGCTTAGAGTTTACTCGAGTAACAATTTTTTTTTTTTTAATATGAATGCAGTAGCCTAATTGTCAATATTATTCAAGCAATTCATACAAGATTTAGAACTGCTTCACAAAGTATTTTGGCATCTATCAAGAAAATTAAAAACCGAAACAGATTCAATTTATATTTGAGACACCAATCAACAAGTACAGACACAGACTACAGCTCTAATAAAAGATACCAATGATAAGGATGCTCCATCAAATTATATACACACACACACACAAAATTTCAAATGCATCTTCATGAGAGTAGTCTTAGGTCTGGTTCTAGATAAATAGGTCATACACCTTATACATATCCCCAATAATGTCGTGAAAGTAATCAATTGTACAAGTAATCATTTTTCATACATAAATTAGAAAATTCCTCCATGAACTATTTCCACAACAGTCATTTAATACACCATCTAAGCAAGACTTATTATAACTGCGCTCAGTTTTAATTCCCATAATCACCACAACCACTTCACCTCATCAATAGACAGAAGCAAGGCAATTTTGAACGTAAAAGTATATTAACAAGATAAATGAAAGCCAGGTCACCTCACTTGTTATTAACAACCAAAGGAACCCAGGTCAACAAGATAAATGAAAGCAACCGCATACTATCCATCAACCATAGAAAGCCTTTTCAAGAGCAAAGTTTCAAATCGCTTCAAGGTGAGCAAACTGGGTTTACTAGAATATATTCAGGTAGCAGTCACACAAAATTTGATCAATTCAATTATTATTATTAATTTTTACGTTTTAGGTCCCTATATGCCCAGATGAATCTATGTAGATGACAGGGTAATGATGTAAGCGTACCTCTATTCTTCAATATCAGCATGTGCAGCTTTAAGAATTATACAACTTCAATAGAATCTATCTGTTGAGATGAATTGCTCAATAATTTTAAGCAGATTTACCTTGGTAACGAAGATAAAATACAGTGCCTTGATTTAAAATCAACTACGACAGATTTATTGGTATAAAAATGATTAGAAACTAATCAATTACAAGTTAACAGCAATTTACCTGAAGTTAGTTGGTGCTTAGGCAACAATACCAGAAAGTCAAGGAAAATCTCAGATATGAAAAACTATTCATAGCAGCCTTAGAAGAAAGAATTTTAAAGCTAATAAGGCAAGACAGTGCTGTCTTTCTAAAGAGATTGAGTTTTACGTGACAAGAAACTGAATTTGACCAGATATATGCTACTGCCCTTTGGAAATAGAATAAGAGACTAATTTTGAATCCGATCGCAGATCTCAGCAAATAGAATTTGAGTCAGCCACATAATCTACAAAAATATCAAATCTATTTTTTATATTTATTTATCTACTCGTAATTTTATTCCATTAACCGGAGGCGATCTAAACCATTTATATGATTCTCATTTTTACTTTAAAATATATTTTTAATTAAGGATATAAGTAGTATTTTGGATACTTGGAGAGTTAAGAGATACGCATTACAACCACAAGGACGACACACAACTACAAGTAAAATAACCCAGCAGACATTATGGTAAGCTTAAACTTGCGAAGATGCATTCCCCGTTTGGCAAAATGCCAAAACCTGCTGCACGAGGAAATCCTTCACAGCAATATCCATTAATCCAGATAAACCAACCATGCGTTTGACAAGCTATTTCTTCCCCAATGGGTTGGTTGATTGGTCTTTTGGTAAGCACATCATATTAAAAAACAATTCATGCGAACTTGCATATAAAGACCACAGCATATATACCAAAACGCATAATACACAAGATAACTTCGCTATAGAAGACAATAGTAACAAGCATGCAAAGTACGCATTACAACAACATTATCATGCATTATTGCTGATATAGATCTCATCAAAACCGTAAAATGTCCAACTATAGTTCCCATTTGCCTAAACTGCTATCTAAACGAACATCATCAACTCTGGTCTACTGTATACATTGCTCTGCTCGTCCTCCAGGGCAGGGTACGCAGCTACAAGAGCATCCTGAGCTCCGATATATAGTGAGTTATAGATCTTCCAATACACCTCCCTAACCTTTCGGGCAGGATGGAACAGCCCTTGGAGGCAGTAGTTAAGAACAACGGCAGCACCCAAGGCTACCCTCATCCCTTCAATGGCTTCCATCACAGCATTTATAACGTGTGGAGAAGTTTCAAATATGTTTGGCCATACATAGTTCAGCAAATGTACTAGCGCATCCTCACAGCCCAAACCAGCCACTCCCAGAGCCATGTGCTTCACAGCAGAAGCAGCTGTCTGCCTATGAACCAAATCCCGATCCATAAGAGCATCCTCAAGTAGAGGAGTCACGGCGTAGATGTAGTCCTTTCCCATTTCACCAATGTACTCAAAGAGGAAAGAGAGGGACTTGAGTACACCATTTTGCACATTAAGCTCTGGCACACGATATTCGTTCATCAAAGCTGGCAAAACTGTGAAGGGTGAACATGTTTCCGCAACAATTGCAATGGCCACAGTTGTGCAGACACGGTTCTGCCTCTCCTGCACCTTGAGATTATTTAATAGAGTTGCCAGGACATCTTGTGGTCCAATGGCTTTCGCAATATATCCAAAAGTGTTCACTGTAGCTCTACGAATTCCCTTTTTGTGTGCCTTAAGCATCTCAAGAAGCTCAAAACAGATCCTCATCCATTCTCTTGCTGGTACAAATTCAGCCCCACGGTCAGCAATCCTACCTACAAGGTCAATACAGTTCTCCTGGACTTTCTCATGCCTATTCTTCAAAATTGGAGTCAACCTAGGAAGCAAATCCTTAATAGGTGGAGTCATCTTCGTCATACCAATAACATTGACAATTGACTTGAGAGCTCCCAGAATTGACCCTAAAACTTCAGGATACTCTTCTCCCAAATACTCATACAAGACAACACCAAGATGGCCCATCAATTGTTCCTCATGGCACTGCTTCATGACAACAGCAATCCTTGAAATGAGGTCCGCCGCTTGCTGTCTCACCTTTGCACTCTTGTTGTTTAACCGCCACTTGATGGTACCGCAAATCTGAGGAAGATATGGTTTCACTCTCTGCCCGAGAGAGTTCACAACAGCACCAAACCCATTAAGCATCACATTGGCATCATCACTGGTCTGCTCTTGGAAGGCATAAAGAATACCATCGATCAGAAGCTCTTCCAATCGTGCATCTATGTCAGATGCTCCCAAGTTAGTGACCACCTTCTCAATAGTTTCCATAACCATTCGCCTATAAGGTTCACTCTCATCTTTAAGATCCTCAACAATTCTCCCAACAATATCAGCAACACCAACTTTGTTTGCTATCTCCACAGTTGTCTCCACAAGTTGCTTATAGTTTCTTCGATCCAAAGCCATCCTCCTAACCCAGAAGTTCCTGAAAAACTCAGGGAGTATATCATTTCTAATATAATCAGCTTCCACCCCCTCAGTGCTCACACACTGCTTCACCACTTTCAGAACAATTTTCTTCATTTCTTCATCAGGTGACTGGAATTCACGAATCAGAATAAGCATGACTTCCTTAGTATAATAACTGGCATATAGGGCTTCCATTAATGGAATGATAAACCCAATTGCCTTCAAGAATGCAGCCAACACCTTCCCACGGTGTTGCCTAATACCCTTCCACAATGGCTTCAAGACAGAGTCAAAACTTTCAATGCCATAAGGAGCAGCAGCCTCGGCAAGAGCAGCAAGAGACAATGCAGTGATCGTTCTCACCTTCTGATTCTCATCATTCAGACCATGCTCAATAATTTCCACAAGAGACCTCAGATGTGGCAATACAGCACAACCAATTAAAATGGCAATCTGCTGCACAATCTTAATCCCTGTGTGCCGAGCTTGCCATGATTTCTTACTTTGACAAACAGCTTTCAAGAAGGGTAATAATGCAGGAATACCTAGAGCAGAGGCAACAACACTAAATGCTCTAGCAGTAGTGTTCCTAACATATTCATCAATATTGTCTATGTCAGGCCGCATAGCAGCAATCATTGTGGCCAGCCCAGCAGCTTTACTGAGATTAGAGATTATTTCTCTTCCCTCCACACGGGCATAGTAGTCTTCATCAATCAACAATGGTTCAATAACAACGAGAATTTTATGCACATAAGGGCGAACCAGTTCATCCAATTTATAAAGAACTCTGTCAATTACCTTAACCAAAAGATGCCTCTCTTGATCCTCCAGAGTAGGTTGCATGAGCAATGGCAGAATTCGGTTAAATAATGGGCCAGCACCAAACTCACGAGCTTTATCAGTAAGCTGTCTTAACGCTGTTTTCCTTTGAGGGGGTGTTCCGTTCTTGACTTTAAGCAGAAGTTTCATGATTTTCCTCTCTTTTTGCTCATCCGGAGACAATTCCTCTTCATTTTCTTCATTTAACAATGCTCCGAAGTACTGGTAGTCTTCAGGTTTCATGAATGGCAAGCCACCAGGTGCTTCCTTGGGAACATCAAACTGCTGACCGCGGTTCTCTTCTGGGATTTGATAAAGAGGAGTCCCTAGTGGAGTAGGAGTAGCAAGAAGCTTCCTAGCAGGTGTTCTAATCGGCACATAGGAAGCAGGAGGATCCAATACCTTATACCCTTCTTGTGGAAACATGGCATCAAGTTCCTCATCAGTCAAGGGGCGATTCCTCTCTTCAATATCCCTCTCCCACCTCAACAGATTGTACTGCTCTGGCGTAATGGCACCATGTAAAGCCCCAGGAGTTGGAGTAGCCAGCTCAACTCCTCCAACAGGAGTAACGCCAGGAGTGTAAGCAGCAGCAGGAGTGGCACCTGGCAATGGAGTTGCACTCCCCATAGTAGCAGGTGTTTCATCCCATCTAGACCTCTGCCTCTTAGGAGTTGGGGTAGCCATCCCAGATAGCTTTGGAGTTGCATCCCAAGTCATGCCAGCAGGTGTAGCACCAGGGGTTGCACCACCAGCAGGAGTGGAATCAGAATCCACCAATCTACCAGGCGTGGGAGTCTCATCCCACCTATTCCTCCTCCCCGGGGTCGCATCCGTTACCCTCCCCGGCGTTGGCGTCGCATCCCACCGACCCGGCGTCGTGTCCGGCATATCCCAGTCTGAAGTTTTCGCCTTCTTTGCAGCGCCATCATCCTGAGACATGTCCCACCTATTCCTCCTCTTCTGCTGCGCCTTATCTGGAGCAGCCTTAGCTTCCTCCTCTTCCTCCTTCTTCTTCTTCGCAATAAGCTTCAACGTCTCCTCCTTCTCCCTCTTCAACGCCTCCTCCCTCATAACGTCCGCATAGGTTCTCACAGACGCGTCCGGTGTCTTCTCTCCTGCTGAGAAAGGATCGTGCCGCTCCGGAGAAATGATCTGATTCAACCTCCGACGCCGATAATCATCTTCTCGATCTATAATCCTCTGCGGCTTCCTGAACCCTAAGTCGGCATCGCCGTCAGCGGCGGCGGCACCGGGCATCTCCTTCAAGAGCGATTTGGGAGCGGTGTAGGAAGCGAGCTTGCGAGCGACCTCGTTGTCCATGACGTCGAGGTTCTCATCGTCCTCGTTTGCAGGGATGGAGGTGAGGTATGAATCCTTGTCACTTCCACCATAGAGATCGGTGTCGAAGGTGACAGATGTCAGAGACGCGAGTTGCTGCTCCATCTTCTTCCGCTCTTCCTGCGTCTTGGCGATCTCTGGGTCCAACGACGCCATGCTTCTCTTCTCTCTCACTGAGAGCGTTCCAAAATCCTAGGGTTTCGAAAAATGAAAATTTTCACTGTTTGGAGTGAGTAAATGAACGAGAAAGTTGAAAAATGAAGAAAAACCGACATTGGTTTTCGGGTTGGATAGGATCCGGTCCGGTCCAGTTCCATTTTCACGGGTTGCACAAAGAAGCCCACAATCCCTATCAAAACCCTACTCTTTGCTGCAAAATTTGATTATTTCAGAAAACAACTCTTTTCCACTGAACAATTGTTTTTGCATTTTAATAACATGATTATTTTCAGATTTAAAGTAGTTCCATTAATTCTTTACACCAAACCAGATTTTTAAAAATTTATTTCAAGAAAGAAAAAAAAAAAAAGTTGACAGATGTACTGGGCTGGACCATTTCGCAAACCTGAAAGAGTTATTCTAATTAATTACTAGCAAGTACTTTTAGCACACTATTTTTAATGCATTAATTACTATTTCATGTCTCACACTTATTTTAGAAATTAGTGTTTTATTTTAATTATTGAATAAATGTATAATGTAACCAAATAATAGACAATGTGTTAAAAAATAATTAAAAGCGTGCTAGGAACATACATCTTAAAAAATTTATTAATTTTTCTTTTTTAAGTTTACCTGAATATTATTTTGAAATAAATACTTACTTATTTTAAGCAACAATTAATTTTAAATCTTTTAGTGCAAATTAGTTTAATTTTTAATATAACTTAATCAAATTAACATAATTTAAAATTAACATTTTTAGATTCTAACATAAATAAATAAATGAAATGTGGATCATCATGTCGGTCTTAATAACTAGTAACAAGTTTAAAGTCAATGAGTTACAAGTTTTTTTATTAGCGATGAAGTTTTTTTTAGTTTTATATCGATTCAAAGAGTTCAAACTTGTAATATTTATAATTTTTTATAGGAGCCATGAATTTAATTGTAAGTAAGTTCTAACTTAAGATTAGTATTATAAGCCAAGCCTCAAAGATAAAATTAGAGTTAGTATAAAAGAAAATAAGTTATAAGTTAAAGTATACTTAATTTGTTATATAAGTCGGTTGCATTGGGCTAAGTCATTAATGAACTGTTCCAAATCAGACGAACAAACTTGAATTGGCACCCTTAATTTTTTTTTATAAAATTCAAATAAAATATTTCATCTTAAAATTGAATTTCTTTTGGCCCATTTGGATGAGGTTATGAAAAAGTATTTTTTTTATATCTTGCTTAATTTATAAGTATTTTTTACAAAAGTTAACCTTTAGATTTTAAAAAAATATTTGACTTTTGACTTATATTTTTTTTTTAAAGTTAAAATTTTTAAATTTAAAAAAAAGTAGATTTTTTGATTTTTTTTGTGGCTTTTTTTTTTTAAACAGACATCTAAACAAATTTTGTAGTATGAATGTTTTATTTATTTGACAAAAAGTAACGTTTGACTATAAAAAAAGTCCATCCAAACATGTCTTTAATATAGAAACCAATTTTTTCATAATTAATTATTAAATTTCTTCGGAAGTAACGTAAACATACATAATTAACCAAAAGCAATGATTAAATATGTGTTGGGCTTAATTTTACTTATCAAACTTTGAACCTATAAGGTTATAACCTTTGGGTTTATTTTTTTGAGGTTGTAAAAAGATAATTTTATTTTTTATATACACGTAAAAATACGTAGGATCTATATTTATGTTTTTTCTCTTCAAATTGATCCACATAAGCCTCATATCCTTTTATATATGTATAAAAAATAATTTTATCTTTTACAATATGAAAAATATTAAACCCATAACCTTTTATCACTAATGCTTTACTATTTATTTTTTTTATTTTTTTTATTTTTTTTTTGGTATAAAGGCCAAACGGCCAGCAAAACACTAAAGAAACTGTTTTATTGAACTGCAAAAGAAGTAAAGGTTGAAGCTCTAACGGAGGCTCATTAAACATGAGCAGTTCTTCTCGTGTGTTTTGAGATGTAAATAGGTTATGTTAGATTAGACTTTGACTTAAATAATTCAAGTTTATATAAAATATTTTAGGTCTGACCTGGTCTGTTAGTTATATAAACTCAAATTATAAGTCTGGTGTGACTTATAATTACAAATTACAAAATAAAAGCACCTACTTAGCCCTGTTAGCCTATTAGACGTTCAATAATTAAAATATTATTATTTTATTATTCAAAATTATTAAAATAATAATTTATTTAATTGAATTAAAATAAATAATGTGATATAAGTCGACCTGCAAATTTATAGGCCCCGCATCTAAAAGAAAACATATGACCTACTTTTCTAAATAATTTTTTTTAGGCTTAAGCTTGTTCTATTTGATTATATATAATAGGCTCAGTTTAGCCTAATATTGGCCAAGCCGTAAGCCCCTGTTAGGCCGGTTGATCCATTTATATCCCGACCTATGTTGCTTGCATATTTAGCCCGCCAATCCGCACAAAGGTCGATTCTTCTATGAGTGTGGCCTACTATGATAACCCAATCCTGCTTGAGCCATTCTCTAACATGCTCCGTTAACCTGGATATATAGGAGTTGTCTGCAGTGGGTTCCAAGGTTCGAATGGAGTCACTTTTCAACTAGATCTTCATTGCTCAATTTCTTCCCCTTATTTTTTTAAACTCACAAATAAGGGAAAGACTTACTAAAATTCTCCCTTTTTTTTTTTCCTCCTAAAATTAACTCCCAAACAAAGTCTTAGGGGGCGTTCGGTAGAAGAGATATTTTTTTTACTGGGGGAACATAAGTAATGGAAGAATGGTAGGAAAGTAAGTTTGATGAAAAAGTTTTAAAAAAAATGTTTGGTTGAACGAAATATTACGGGAAAATTTATGTAAATTTACAAACTCTATATTCGGTTGAAGGTAAAATAATGATGAAAAAATATATTAAATTGACCAAAATACCCCGTTGTAATTTTTTTTAAAAATAACCACTGCATACAAGTGAGTGTCGTAGCATATCTCACCCCCTAACGTCAATTGGTTTCCTTATTGTTGTCTTTCTCTCCGTCTGGTTGGAATTTGATGGTGTTAAGGTATCTATCTCCCGCAAGAATGGCATACAACATAGGGGTAACTCATGGCAAGATGAAGTCTATGGCACGAGCTGTCCAATCCCACCGGGGAAGAATTTCACTTATGCTCTCCGGGTGAAAAACCAGATTGGTGGCTTTTTCTACTTTCCATCTCTTGGAATGCATAAAGCTGCCGAAGGATTTGGTGGAATCAGAATTTGGAGCTGCCCTCTCATTCCTGTCCCTTTCCCTCCTCCTGCAGGGGACTTTACCATACTGGTTGGAGATTGGTTCAAGATAGACCACCATGTAAGCCTTTTGTAGGCATGCACGTTTATTTCAATCCTGAAGTTGATATCCTTTTTTTTACTTTCTCACTTATCCTAAAATACCACATCTAAAGTGATATTTTAGAATAGTTTTTTTCATAAAAAAAAAAACAATAGTGAAGTCGTTTTCCAGCATCCTATTTACATGGTATTTTTTTTTTCAAACCTTGAATCAAATATGATCTTTTTCAATTGTCACCTACACTTCTCCGTCAAACCCAAACGAAAACCTGTACGAAACATACTTAATGCTTTACTATTTTAGTGCCTTCAAGAAATTGAGATAATGCAAAAATAGAATAAAAAAAATAGTTAATCGAGACAGCAACTTAAAAAACTTCCACAGTCCACTGGAGTTAATAAAAATAAAAATAAAAAACTCCACTGGAATCGAAAACATGCTCGCTACGAAGTAGACACAATAGCAGTCAAATGTTCTTAAACTCTCGAGGTAGCTGAGTTGGCAACTCAGCTCCTAAGGATTTCTTGAATCAGGAGTTCAAATCCTGCCTCAAGCAAATTCTTAGAAAATCTTTGGAGGTCAGAGGATGTGCTTCCCTCCTCAATTGGGGGATTAGTCTCATCCTTCCTTCGGTAGCGAAGCTCAATGCACCCGCTGTTCCAATGAGGGGCTAGTCTACTGGTTGTACCCCGAGGGCAAGGTGATCGGAGGAGGTTGAATGGGGATACCTCCAGGTTATACCAAAAAAAAAAAAATGTTCTTAATATCTACTTTTTGTCTCAATTTTTTTATAATAAATAAGAAAAGGTGTATATATATATATATATATATATATATATTTTAAAACTTTTGAGACATATTTTTGAATTTAAACTTTTTTAACTTTGAAAAAGTACGAATAAAAGAGGCTCTTATTTAATATAGAGACCATGTAGGAATTTCCCCCCTTTTTTTTTGTGCAAACAGAGAAATTATGACCATGTTTTAACGCACGAATTACTTAAGCTTAGTTATGTCTTTGAATCTTAAAGAAACTTATGCGGCACTGAAAATGGGCATCTTATATATTATTAAATGTCTTGAGTAATTTTAATTTTCACAGTAAACTCAGAGATATTAATCCCGTATGATACTTATATTTTATGCCTTTTAATTCTTGCATTTCTCCCAATATTCGTGGAATAAGCAAGTTAGAGTCGGTATCAAATTAGGTACGCAATATTGTCATTTTTTTTTTTGGTGAATGATATTGTCATTTAACTAGGAAGTCTTTGCTGATTGCAAACTCAAGAGATATTAATCCAATATCATACACTTATATCTTAGCCTTATTCTAGCATATATTCCTGAAATCACGGAATAAGCAAGTTCGAGTTGGCAACAAATTAGGTGCACTATATTGTCATTTAACTAAGAAGTCTTCGCTGATTGCACAAGGCCAAAATCGAAATCCTATCCAAATTCTATCCCTGTCAAACAAAGGATGGATAGTGTTTGGTAGGAGTTACCTTTCAAGATAGATAAAAATCTGAAATTAGTATTCCATTTATATCATGTTTGATACAAGATATTAGAATATTTTATCAAAGTTATTTGCCCAGCTTTCAATAGTTGCTTGTAAAATGGGACCAAATATACTGTGCAAAAATATCACTTGGGATGTTGTATTTGAAGATGATTGGGGAAATGAGAAAAGAGCAATAAATTGCTAACAAAAATACCTTTGATTCTAAGAATTATTCATATTCAAAAATTATAAAAGAGTTTTCACCAAAAAAAAAAAAAAATTATAAAAGAGTTGTTTTGGTTATTTAAACTCATTTTTCTATCAATATTTTATCTTCAACCAAACATACATTTATAAAATTTTATCCAATTTTTCCGGTCTATCAAACAATTTTTTTTAAAATTTTCCTATCAAATTTATTTTCCCATTATATTCTTAATAATTATAATTTTTTGATAAAAAAATTTTCCTCTGCAAAACGAGATCATCTTCTGTACATCTGTAGTAGGTACATCTATCATTCAATAAGTGATATTTGGATAAAAAAATATTTTTCTCTTATTTCCATACAAGAGAATAGTCATTTTTTATTTTTTATTGAATAGATGTACTGAGTAAATGATACAGTATATTTCCGTGCGAAACTCCACTTTAAAGTTGGTCCGTACATTCAAGTAAGTTTTCAATCAAATCGCTTTATACTGGAAACCATGAATTTCGTTTTCTTCCCCCAAAGTCCAAACACGTGCCCTTCTACCATTTTGAACTCTGTAAGGAATTAAAGATATTATGTAAAAAACATTCGCTGAATAATTAATTTTTTCATTTTCCATGATTTTTTTTTTATACTACACATACAATATATAAGTGATATCCATGGTTATTGTTTATGCATTTTATATAAGAAAAATTTCGCTGCTTTAAAAGTCCAATCTTAATGGTTTCAGACAAGATGTTCGCTGCTTATGTTTGTGGCCACATACCTGACTTTCATAACCAGTGGTGGGTTCCCTTCCTTTGTGGAGGAAATGAAGGTAAAATAATTTTTCAGTAAGCATTCCTAAGAACAAAAATTTCCTCTTCATTTGCAATTGCAATTTTTGGCACAAAAAATCACTTTTTCAATTTACTAAACTTTCTCATTTTTCTTCACTCAGGTATTTGAAAGAGAAAGACTTAATGGGCACTATGGTGTAACTGCATATATCATTGGACAAACATTGTCTGCTATTCCATACTTGTTACTGATATCATTGATTCCCGGAGCAATTGTTTATTACCTAACTGCACTTCACCCAGGGTGTCAGCACTTTATTTACTTTACTTGTGTGCTCTTTATTTCTATAATGTTGGTGGAGAGCCTTATGATGATTGTTGCTAGTATGATTCCCAATTTCTTGATGGGCATAATAACTGGTGCTGGAATTTTGGGAGTAATGATGCTAGGTGGTGGATTCTATCGGTTGCCCAGTGATCTTCCTAAACCATTTTGGAGATACCCTTTGTACTATATTTCCATCCACAAGTATGCTTATCAAGGGTTGTTTAAGAATGAGTTTGAAGGTCTAACATTAACAAAAAATCATGTTGGGGAGCCTATGAACATTAGTGGTGAAGAAATGCTGCAAAATTTATGGCAAATGGAAATGGGTCTCTCAAAGTGGGTCGATATTTCTATCTTGCTGGGAATGGTTGTTCTCTATAGAATTCTGTTCTTGGTTATTATCAAGAGCATTGAGAAGGTGAAGCCTATTGTTGCAGCCTTCAAGTGATAGACCATCCTAATTTGATTCTGCATAGGATTGTTGTACTTGGTTTTGGCCACAAGCTAATACAACTCATACAATTAGTGATACTTGAAACACTTCTTTGCCTTTGTTATCATACTTTAAACACTGTATGTTATGCTTACGGTTTCAATTTTTATTCATTTATATTAAAAAATTTCTTAAGGAATACCCAAACAACTTCCTCTATTTAATGAATTGCATTTATCATTAAGACTCGACCCCAATATATTATCACCAGGTATATCAAGGGTTACACAAAAGTCAAAGTACTTGGTCTAACAAATTATGATGATCATTACATGATAAATTAAAATTTTCTTTTAATGTAATATGATACATTGCATCGTGGTATTTTGTATGGCATCACCTGGGATAGCATATTCACTTAAAAAGAAAAATTGCAGACTCTGCCATGTGACTAGGATACGTGGAAGAGGGTAGCCATGTTGTTTTAACATTCACAAACACAGACCTTAATTTGGGTCTAGGTGATTGTAATTTGTCTGTTAATGTGATCCCTTATTGCGTGTTTAGGTCTAAGTGTATGTAATCTCATTTTGAGTTTGGGTGAGTAGTTAACTGTAAGGATTCTAAGTGTATGTACTTCCTTATTATGAGTTTGGGTGAGTAGTTAATTGTACTCATTATTCAAGAGTTATATTACTAAGGGTTTTACTAGTCTTATTCAACATAAGATAGTTATCTTATGTTGTAGAGAGAAAATAGGTCAGTCCCACCATTACAAAAGAAAAAGAAAAAAAAAGAAAAAAGTGGGATACGAAAATCGAAGTGAGAGAAAATAAGAGATGATATCTCATGTGAAAGGTGAATAATATTTTCCTATTTTTTTTTTGGTAAGCAATAATATTTCCCTATTACTAATGCTTAAACGGTGACGTTAAAATCAATTAATTAACTTCCATGATTAATTAAAAGCTGGTTTATGCTCTAACGACTATAGATTAAGAATGTAACTCACAAAATGACATAGAATTGAGAGTTATATATATGGTTAGGTGTGTGTGCTTTTAAAGGATATATAATTGTATTCTTTTAAGTAAGAAAAAGAGATATATAATAAAAATCATGGTAAAAAAATGAGTGTTTTTTTTTAAATTTTAAATAAAAAATATGTTTTAATTAAAATAATCATCTTTTTAAAAGGATAAATATTTTACTCACACACACATGTATAGAGATAGGATTCTTTGACACCAGTGTCAAATTTAAAGTTTGACACATCATCTGATAGCCGTTAGATCAAAAAAAATCAATAGCATCACATGCTTACAAATCAGAGTCGTTGATATTTGTTTTTATCCAATAATGATAGCTCAATTGATGCAAAGGAACACAGTGGATACTTTGATTATAAAATCTTAATCTTTGACCCATCCAAAGTAATTAGGGTTGGTTGGTATCCAATATATATATAGGAAAAATTGCTTAGCATTTTAAATGATATAAAATTATGTCATTTTTTAACGAAACTACGTCATTTTGGTTTGTTTTTATCTTCTCTCTCCTCTATATTTTCTAATTTTATAAAAAAATGACAAACACATTTCATTAAAAATGATACAAAATTATGTCATTTAAAATGATAAATATTTTTCCTCGTATATATATATTAAGGGTTTGATTTTCGTATATTGTATGAGACTAATAATTTCATGAACACACAAAACTACACAAAACTGTGGATAGGATAAAAGAGAAAATAAAAAAGTCACGGTCACTTTTTATTTTTACTTGTGGCATGATATAAGCATAAACACATTTTCCATATTTTAAAGGGGAATGATATTGTAACAGCCAAGTTGTATTACTACTAATTAATTTCACCGTTAGATCGATTATGTTGATTTAACAGTTATATTTATTTCCATCTTTGTATGATTATGATTCCTCATATTTAAAGTGAAAGCATTAAATATAAAAAATCATAACCATACAAATGTGGAAATAAATATAAAGTATTAAATTTGAAAAATCATGATCATACAAAGATAAAAATAAATATAACCGTTGGATCAACATAACCAATCTAACAGTGAAATTGATTAGTAGTAACTTAGTAGTAACATAACTTGATTGTTAGAATATCCTTCCCAATTTTAAATCCTAAAATGGTTTCATCCAAATATGTGAAAAGAGAAGGATAATAAACGGAAATAAAATAAAAATTGTTTAGGGCCCAACTAGTTAACCCAGCCCTTCACAGCTTGAAGGGAGGGGCAAAGTGAAAGGGACTAGGTAGAAAAACGCAGGCTCAGGTGCCGGCGTTAGTTCCTCTTTCACGCAGACATGGAAAACGACGACGTCGACATGCATGCTGCAGACAACAACGAAGCGGTAATGGTTTCCGTTTCTTACTCTTCTCTGTTTTTTTTTTTTTTTTTTATTCTCTGCATTTACCTAATTTCGTTGAATCAAACTTCGTTTCGGTGCTGCCGCTGTTCAATCCGAAACCCTAATTTATTCATTCATCAATGTCAAATGAATTGGCTGCAGGAATTGGATGACATGAAGAAGCGTTTGAAGGAGATGGAAGATGAAGCTGCTGCTTTGCGAGAGATGCAAGCCAAGGTCGAGAAGGAGATGGGATCTGTGCAAGGTGCCTTCTTTTTATTTTTTATTTTTTTCTCAAAAAATATTTATGTTGGAACTTCTCTTTTTATAATTCTGTAAATAACTCTTGCTTGGAAGAAAATACTGAAGTTTGATATGAGTTGTGTTGAAATGGATATGTCCAAAGTTGGAATTAACTCTATTTTTATTGTGTTCTACATTAATGATATAAGACCTAACTCCTTCGCCTAGAAGTTCTTTTTTTTATTATTATTATTTTTTGGTTTGAAATGTTTTTATTAATAAACTAGCAATATAGGATTTGGTTTGTTACTTGATTATAAATGATAAGCTATATCCTTGTACTCATTTGAGATGTTCATGTTATGAACTGATTCAAGCTGATTTTTGTTTTCTTCTGTTTGAAAATTTAGAAGAGTTGTTGCTTTAACGCGTAAGTTACAAAAAAAAATTTCTGTTATTTTTCTTCTCCCCCCGCGCCGTTTTTCTTCATTCTCATTCTTGTTCTTTCCCATGCACTTGTGCATGGTGTGAACACTGTGCATGTGTGTGTTTTCTTTGTGGTGCGACATATTATTACACTGTATTGTTAGACTCCTATCTCTGTTATTGATTATTATCTCCAAATAGATCCTGCAACTTCTTCTGCGAGTCAGGCCAATAGAGAGGAAGTAGATTCTCGATCAATCTTTGTTGGCAATGTGAGCTCTCTCTTCCCCTGTTTAAATGAGAACATTGTATGTATTGTGCTTAGTTGTCTTTTGTCATCATACATGATATGGGCTAAGGATATTATTGTCATGCCATTCTTTCTGGAGTGATTGATTCAATTATGAGCCAATGTGTTGGACGATTAATACACTGGACTTCACCGTATTCTATCCTGGAAAGTTCGAATCTTTGTTTGATGTTGAATGTGCTTCTGCTATTTTGAAGTTTGTTTGTATTTCCATGTGATAGCATCCTGCTTTGACATAATGTTTTGACTACAATCGCAGGTCATGCTTCCATCTTCAAGTTTTCTGGTATTGTAATGTTGCAGTTGAAAGTATATATTATAATAATATATAGCTAGAGGAGAAAAACAATATTAGAAATCTATGAAATTTAAAAAAGGAGTGCAAAAACAAAATATACTACACAAAAGAAACGTTGAGGGATAGGGGAGAGATAAGAATGTTAAGAGTTATTTGTTGAGGAAAGTGATGTTTGTGGTTTTGTGAATTTCCATATTTTGATGGAATGAGGAAAGGAAAAAAAATAAAGAGCAAACAAAATTAGAATGTGAAGCTTTCTATAATTACAGGTGAAAAAAGAGAAGTTTTTAGCTAGGAAGTTTTTATTAGTATACTTTCTAAGTATTCGCGGAGGGATTGGCAGAGGAATGGATTATGGATTAGATTGAAGATCGAGAACCTGGACTCCTACTGGTGAGAAGAGGACATGCTATATGGTAAAGTACATTGCATTATTATACTTTCAGAGGGACACTTTCAGTGGTGCCTAGTGCTCAAGACATATGTAGGCATTCTTTTCTCATGTGAGGGACTGTTGTCGTTCCTTTTTTCTACTTTGGGAAAAAGAGGGATTTCTGTTAAACTATTTCCTTTTTCATTTTATACCCTTCTTTAATATACTTCACACCACAAAAACTGAAGGAAAATTGGAATAATAAAGAGGGAGATAGAAGGGGAGGGGGTGCAATTTGGAGAGTATGATTGTCCAAATTGTAGATCCTACCTACGGTCGGACAAGGAGGTAGAAATGTAAAATATGAGATTGTAACATTAAATGTAAGATTTTACCTGTTGTATAAAATTATATTCTATAATATATTTACACATATAATAGAAAATAAATAAGGCATAATAACAATAAAATTACACCCAGAAGTAGCATTTCAGTATCTTCTAATTCAAAATGCATAGTAGATGTGAGTTAGTAAGGTTATGTACAACTCTTATAACAAAACAAAGGCTTCTTGATGACATTTTTAGCACACTGCAAAAGGATCACCTACAGACCAGCAAACCACAAATTTAGCACACTCCCACTAACAAATTAGCACATTCCGGCATTCACACAAACCAGCTTTTCACGAAAACAGAGGAAGGTTGCAATTGCAGAAGCAGACCCTGTACAGCCCACCCAGATATCATTCATGCAGAAACAGAGGCATCCTAATTCTGTCACAATAGCTTGCACATCCTGGTACCCATCCAGTCGCACAAGGTCGCTTCTAACAACACAGCAACAGAAAGGGGCCACCCACTCCACAAGGTTTCCAAGATCTTGGGCTGGAGCTGGACTGGGTTTTTAATCAGAGGCCCAATCCACATCAACATACAAGCTTTGTTGTGAAAACACTGCTGAACTGTGTGTTTACTAGGACAAATCGTGTCCTGACTCCTGAGGTGGGATTGGGATCAGAGGGGCCTAACTTATGGTTCTACAAGTTGGAATGCCTTGGTGGATAACTGTTGATGAAAAAATAAAAATCAATGGTTTATATTTTTATAAATTGCTTGGACCTTAATAATTTATGGCTTTATGAAATTCCACAATCTAAATATATATATATATATATATATATATATATATATATATATTTTCATCTGTGGTTATCTACTGGCACTATATTCTGTGAAGTGTCCCTTGCATTTTGGAGGATGAATTTTTTACTTACAATCACATAGACCAGGGCGAAGATTCTTCTTTTCCTGAAAGTTTCCTTCATGCTCTAATGTGCACTTGTTTCAGATATAATACCAAAATACTATCAGATAAATTTGTTTCTTCCTCAATCTGAAAAGGGAAAAGCAATACTATTAAATTGTTTGGTGAAGATGTGAAGTCCGCTATATGTTTTAACAATTTATTTTTCTAGCTGAAAGAGTTACTCTATTCCCAAATTTTCTTCTTTGATTAGTAATTTTAATGATAATGTTGGCATAACCAATATTGGCATAGTTATTTGCAACTTGCAAGAAGGGTGTAGTGGTTTTTCTGCCAAAGAAGGTTGGGTTGATCTTCATCATTTTGGCCCCGTGTTAGTGATTGACAACTTTCACAAAAAAGTTCTTATAAATCCTTATACTATGTCTACCTCAGATGGTATATGGTTTGTTGTATTTTCGAACATTTACATTTTTCATTTAATGATGCATTGATATCTAGTGACAGATAGGAAGAGTATATGGTTGTAATAGTAAACTAGAAACTGGTAATTTTCATCTTTTAACCTCAGGTTGGTGTTAACAGTTACTTGAAAACATTTTACTACCACGTGATAAATGTTTTGGCTTTACTTGTTTTTCTTTATATAATTTTCCCACAGGTGGACTATTCATGCACTCCTGAAGAAGTACAGCAGCATTTTCAATCATGTGGAACAGTTAACCGAGTCACCATTCGTACTGATAAGTTTGGCCAACCCAAGGGTTATGCTTATGTAGAGTTCCTTGAGGTGGATGCTGTTCAAGAGGCCCTTTCGCTGAATGAATCTGAACTTCATGGACGCCAATTGAAGGTTACAGCTGGAGGCGCTTGCTCTTAAAAAATTTCGTGTGCTTCCGTTTTTTAACCATTTCTGATTTTTTTTAACTTTTTTCAGGTAACAGCCAAGAGGACCAACATACCAGGCATGAAGCAGTATCGTCCCCGCCGGTCCAACCCTTACATGGCGTTTCGAGGCAGAACCCCATATGCACCTCCTTTTGCCTATTCTCCATATGGATATGGGTATATTGCGCTATATTCTTCCCTTTCTAATGTATTTTCCTTTTGTGCCGTGATAGCAAAGTAACACCATTTCTCTGTTAATCGCAGAAAGGTTCCAAGGTTCAGAATGCCAATGCGGTACAGCCCCTACTATTGATTTGTCCAATTCTGGTTGGATGGACAGAATGACGCCCTTCTCCCCCTTCTATTATCATGGTCGGAGCTTTATCCAATTCAACATGAGGGAATTTCTGACCACCTAGATTGATGTCGTTGGTTCTGTGAGGATTAAGCATAGACTTGACAGCAAATCTTGTAAAATTGTGGTGTTTGCACCTGCTTTGCTTTTAGTATTGGTATATTCAAATTAAGTTCTTGTAAAAGTATCCTTCGCAAATGTTGGTTAATATATCATATATGAATGGGTTTTGGATTTGCCTATTAATTGCTCCTTCATAATATACCGTAGGTTAGTCTGGCCTGGGATTTATCCCTCATTTCTTTATGAAAGGCCTTGTCAAAATGGTTTTGCCTGTCTTACGCCTCTCAAACGTGTGATAATCCATAGTTGTTTTTGGGTAGACCTTGTACAAAATGTCTCCTAAGACCCAAAGATTACTTTACCGTCTGGCATTTCCCGCAATCGGTAATCACAAGAAAGATGATTTTGACTTGTTTATACGTGCAGGGGATGGCATGTTAATCCTGAATAAAACTTACATACCATTATTTTAACCAAAAAAAATTGTAACGAAAATATTCACTTGTGTGTGTGTGTTTTGCAATTTCGTTATAAATAATTATAAAACAATACTTTAAAAGGTTTAATGTCTTTCATGTTATAGGAAATAAAATTATTTCTTATACACACCTAAAAATCTGTGGGCATCATATTTTTTTTCTCTCTTTCTTCTCATCACATGACCTTACATGAGTCTCTTATTGAGGAAGTCTGACCTCTTGCACAGTACTTTTTTTCAAATAATTCTTCAAATAATCTTTATTCAAGTATTTCAAGGTTTAAATAGATAATACAAGACAACCTTAAAAATAACTATCCACTACACTAGATCGGCTCCTCTAATAACTATGACATATCCTTTAAGAAAGGAAAAATTCAAATAACTACCCATTACTTAAACAACCTAACAATTCAGAAAATAAAAAAAATAAAAAAATGTAACATTCTTCTCCCTAAAAATAACTCTTGTCCTCAAGAGTAAATTTAAAAACAAGTAATTGAATCATCTTCAATATTCGTCTTTCCGTCACTTTCATCCATCACCTTTTTGATCGAAAATAACTTCTTGCAATGATAACCAGGAGCAAAAACCTTGTTGCAGCGAATAGCCCTTTCCGTCGTCTATCCAAAATTTATTCGAAAGTCAATCGCCGAATTGAATTAGTGTCATTTCTATTCTTGTTATGATTGGTTGGGGCTATGGAGCATGTTGGTTTAGCATTACAATTATTCGCTGAATGATCTCCTTTTTGTCATGTTAGCGTAGCCACCAAAATGTCCAACCAGTTGGAGAATTGGTTGAACATCTCCTTGAATTGCTCCAATAAAGACTGGATCGCGTCTTTCAATTTTTGAACGCGTTTGTCCATGTTTGAGCTTTGATACTAATTGTTACGAACAAAATAAATAAAAATGAAAATTTGGTTTATTGAGAAAGCATTACCTCAAATGACTTTAACCTCTTGTATAGAGTGCTTTTTCCAAATAATACTTCTGATGATTTCTATCAGATACTTCACTGTTTAAATAGATAATATAAGACAACCTTAACAATAATTACTCACTAACACTAGATAGACTCCACACTAATAACTATGACCTATCCTTTAGGAAAGTTAAAATTCAAATAACTACTTACTACTTAAACAATCCAACAATTCAGAAAATAATAAAAATAAAAAACCATAATAACATCCTACACATTTTTTTATATGTATAGGAAATATAAAAAACATCGAATCTTACTTTAAATGTCAGCAATTTGTTTTTAAATAATTATCATTTTTCTGAAGTCAAACTGGGAAATGGGGATAACTTGTGAACAAGTATACGAGCCTGTTCACAAATTTGACACTTAACATTATTTTACGTTTTGGGATTGCGATTGAGTATATTTTAATAGGAATAAACCTGAATATTCTCTATTTTATTTTATTTTAGACTTTGTTGGAGTTTTATAATCAGAAGACAGGTTGGTGGTGAATCACTTTGTTTCTGTGTCATATAAAGCAAAAGTTGTCGTTCAGAATCGGATATTTGTCACTCAATCAGTCATATTCTCTCCTTTGTTGTGAATTTCAACAAAATGGCTTTGGCCTCTTCATCCCTCTTAACCTTCAAACCTACCACCCTCTTTAGGCCTCAGCAATCACCACGTAGATCCATCATCGTTGCCAATTCCGCAGAGCCTTCGAAGTCAACGGCAACGACTGCACCGATTTCGACGAATTGGAAGGTTGATAGTTGGAAGGAGAAGAAGGCTGTGCAACTTCCTGAGTACCCAAACCAGAATGAGCTGGATCAAGTCCTCGAAACCCTTACATCTTTTCCCCCTATCGTGTTCGCCGGAGAGGCCAGGAATCTGGAGGAGAAATTGGCTCAGGCTGCTATGGGTAACGCTTTTCTGCTTCAGGGTGGGGATTGTGCTGAAAGCTTCAAGGAATTCAATGCAAACAATATCCGTGACACATTCCGTCTTATCCTTCAAATGGGTGTCGTCCTTATGTTTGGTGGCCAAATGCCTGTTATAAAGGTTTCATCTTTATGACCCCTTGTACTCGTTTCGTTTCGTTTCCTCGAATTGCAATTTCCTTTTTAATCTCTTACTGCATGATTGGATTTTATTATTAAACCTCTCTCGGATAGAGTTAGGTGTTTTGAACACAAAATAAGATGTGTAGGAATGAGCCTTGATGAAGAAAAAGGAGAGTGTTGTAGTTGTTGGAAATCGACAATCACACGAATCGCACACGAAAAGAGAAAGAGAGACAATAGACACAGAGATTTACCTTAGTTCACCCAATTTAGGCTACTTCCAGCTTATCTATGCTATATTCACCCAATTTAGGCTACTTCCAGCTTATCTGTACTATATTCACCAATTTAGGCTACTTCCAGCTTATCTGTACTATATTCACCTTACCGTCACTCGTTACAAGTCACTTGGTTTATAAGAAAAATATAAATAGGATTAGAAAACCCTAACAGCATGCGAAGTATGAGCCATACCCAACAACACTGTGGTTGATCGAATTCTTCATGTTGGTTAATTGTTTGAAGCTCTTTATTTTTGTTTTTGAGAGCCTATGCAATTAGCTTACCTTGTGCTGGTTTAAAATTTTGTAATGAATGAGATTATGAGAATGACATACTTCAACTGTTGGATATGCTGAATTATTAGGTTGGGAGAATGGCGGGTCAGTTTGCAAAGCCAAGATCAGACGCATATGAGGAGAAAAACGGAGTGAAGTTGCCAAGTTACAGGGGTGATAATGTGAACGGCGACGCGTTTGATTCAGCATCCAGAATTCCGGATCCACAGAGGATGATAAGAGCCTACTGCCAATCTGTGGCTACTCTGAACCTCTTACGGGCATTTGCCACCGGAGGTTATGCTGCCATGCAAAGGGTCAACCAATGGAATCTTGATTTCATGGAGCACAGCGAACAGGGAGACAGGCATCATGTTTAACCTTTTTTAAATTTATTTCAGGATTTTGACTTATTCGTGTTTATTAATTCTTATTCTTGCATATTTAAATTTGTTTGGGTGGATGTATTTGAAGATTGAACTGACTCTTTCCGTGTTGCTCCAAAGATAGTGGAACACAAAAGGGTATAAAAAAAAGAAGGAAAGTAAATTAGGAATAATTTTAGATTGTTTGCCCTTGTTTTTAAGTTTCTGAATGGAATCTAAGGAAGAAATAAAAAGGGAAAAAATCAGAAAAAAGGAGGAGAAAGGATAAGAAATGAACTAAACTTGAATACTTTATTATGTTTTGCTATTTACAGTAAATGGACTAAATGTAGTGATACTGTAATAGGAGATATTCTCCTTGGCACATGTCTCATGATACATGGATATAATTACAAGGAGAAAAAAATCTGAATGGATTTTATTTATTATATTGTGTATTTACTTTTTCTCCTCCCTTCAGACAAGGCTAAAATTACAACAGCTCCAATTTTCATATAGTGATCCTCGACAACTTAATTTAGGTTATCTAAACCAAAGTTATCAAATGCAGATTGCGGCTTGTCGCGGCCAATCCTGAAAAAACTATAGCGGGTTGCAATTGCGGAAATAATGGAAATAGCTGAATAGATCACTAGAACCTAGATATATCACACATATTTATGCTAAAAAATAGAGACATTCCAAAACAAACAAGAATTCCAAATAGTCAATTAAAAAGATCAAAATATTGTCAATATTCCAAAACAGAATGTTTTACCGTGTTTTTGCTGTTATGGCGCAATTGCATCCGTGACAGCCGTGTTTTTGCCGCAATTGAAGCTGCAATGACCGCGTTTTCCTACTTGTCTCGTTGCGGTGGAACTCCATAAGCGGAATTGCGCACTTTTGTGCTGCAATTGATATCTATGATCTAAACCTAGTTGATATGCGCTAAGCAATTTCTTTTATGCTTTCTGCAAATAATTAACTGATCATTCTCAAGGAAAATGGATTCTGTTTATTCTTGAATTGCTCTCTTAGGAAGTTCTCAACCTTCTTTACATCAGTTCTTTTTTGGTGTGGGCCAACAGGTACCGCGAACTGGCTCATCGAGTGGATGAGGCTCTTGGCTTCATGGGTGTTGCTGGACTCACATCTGAGCATCCAATCATGACTACGACAGACTTTTGGACCTCCCATGAGAGCTTGCTTCTCCCTTATGAACAAGCACTTACCAGGGAGGATTCTACTACTGGGCTTTATTATGATTGCTCAGCTCACATGTTATGGGTTGGGGAACGCACCCGCCAACTTGATGGTGCTCACGTTGAATTCTTGAGAGGAGTTGCTAATCCTCTTGGCATCAAGGTACATATATATTGTTCTCACCTTTGGCCTTGATATGCTTCGCTATATTGCTATTTCGCTTTAATTATCGAATTACTTTTGCATATGCTTTATTTATTTGTTATGTATGAATTTACTTTTGCTTTGATTGTCAAAATTACTTCTGCATATGCTCGACTCAGTTAATTAGTCATAATTATCTTTTTCTGAAGGGCCTTAATCTTGTTGGCAATTTATGCATTGCTGACAAAGAATGTGCAGCTACTAAAAGGCTACTTGTTTTACAGGTGAGTGACAAGATGGACCCGGGTGAACTTGTTAAGCTGATAGATATTCTGAATCCTAAAAACAAGCCTGGAAGAATCACAGTAATTGTTAGAATGGGAGCTGAGAACATGCGAGTGAAGCTTCCACACCTTATCAGGGCAGTTCGCAGAGCTGGTCAAATTGTCACTTGGGTTAGTGATCCCATGCATGGGAACACCATTAAAGCTCCATCCGGACTTAAAACCCGCTCTTTTGATTCAATAAGGGTAATTGTCACTTATACTTTCCTTCAGCAATACACAAGTGGCATAAAAAATATGGTCTGTACTAGATCATTGTTTTTGGATCCTATAGAAGTGTTTAAAGTTCAGTTTCTACTAAAACTTTTTTAGGGCATACAAATTTAGCCCAGAAATCTTCCACACGAAAGAAACGATGGACTCTTTGTGTGGGTGGGTGATTTTGTGATCTTTGTAATGTCTCACACTCTCACACGATACATATTCTGCAGAACACCTGTTATTGAAATATTTCTTTTGTTTGGTGGTTGGCAAGAGTGTTCAAATATGAATTTTCAAGAAAATTTGCCTAACCCTGAAGATCCGTCAAATTTAACGTTAAGTTTTCACTGTTACGGAAATTGCTGATTTTGCAATTTTGTTGGCTTAATGATGGATAAAGCAAATAGTACAATTTGCTGATCACCCCTCTCCTATCCTATTAATGCAGTTTTGTTATGTAGTATGTGTATCCGGTTCATAGTAGTTAGATAATTGTTTGGCATGTCATTTACTTGTATAGATCATAAGTGCATTTAAGAAAATACTGTGTCATATCCAAAATGTACAGGAACAGAACTTAGTGAAATTACTTTGGTTTTTGTCCTTCTTTATGATCTTTGGCCTTTTTTAGTGTCATTCAAGATCAGGCTCTCTTGCAGTTTTGAGGTTGATTTTTGTTGTATAATTCAAGTTTTATTGCTACTGATGATAAATTCATGTGTTCCCGGATGTTGTTATTGGTGATAGGCTGAGTTAAGGGCATTCTTTGATGTCCACGACCAAGAAGGAAGCTACCCGGGAGGGGTTCATTTAGAAATGACTGGGCAGAACGTGACAGAATGTGTTGGAGGCTCACGGACTATTACTTATGATGACTTGAGCTCACGCTACCACACTCATTGTGATCCAAGGCTTAATGCTTCTCAGTCTCTCGAGCTTGCATTTAATATTGCAGAGAGGTTACGCAAGAGAAGGCTTAATTCAATGCAATCTCTAGCCTCACTTAGAATTTAGAGAAGAGGGGTCATGCTTTGTTCTTGGATGACCAAAATATTTTTTACTGGTAGCCGTTCCACCGTGTGTCAAGAACTATGAAGTTTATAATTTTAAGTTGTGCTATAAGAGTGTCATATAAGATATTTAGCACTGAAGGTCATCAGGTTGTACTTTCAGGTTTTGTACTAAAGTCTAAAGTAAGATAGTATGGGTATGTGTTTTGAATAACGAGTAATGAATAAATAATAAAGGTATAACTTATATTATAATGCATCCAAGTGAAATTTATTGCATGAGAGATGATTTTGTTTCAAGATTTTATGGTTGTTTTTTTACTACCACCTGACACTTTGTTCTTTGCATCATATATTATTATGCTTCCTTATTTACCCTTGAAAATAATCATTCCAGGGTTGGTAAAAGACCAAATGCACCAAGCAAACTTTGCTTCATTTCACAAAAATAAAAATTATATTCTCCAACTTTTGAAGGCCTTTAGGAATCTCCATGTCTTCATTTTCGCAAAAAACTTTGGATTTCTTTACAAATTTGTGCTTTTCTTCCACGTTCTTGTAGAAACATTATTGTTGCCTATAAATTCTTTATTTTCTTTGAAACTTAAATCTCTTCTTCAAGTTCGCTTCGTATTTGTGAAGTGCTTCTGTCAGTGCTCTCATAAGGCTTCATCACTTTCAAGTAACTTTTGTTTCCTTCCTTGTATTATTTTGCATATGTTTCCTTTTATTGTTGTTTGTTGTTGAGTTTTCGATTGTGAGTTTTGTGTCTATCTTCTATCTTTCACCCAAAAATAGTAAAACTTGAGGAGTTTAACCCTGTAGAGGTTAAGGTTAGGGAAGAAATTCTTCTCCTTCTGAGTGTCAAGAGAACATTAGGAATAAAGCCATTAGGCAGGCTTTTGAACCACCTAGGGCCAGTGGCCACTTTGAAGTTGTTGAGAGCAATAATCACTTTGAAGTTGGGGAGAGTAATTTTCAGGGGCTTCCCAAAGTGAAGGGAGGCCCTATGACAGGATTTTTTTTTTCTCTTTGGCTTATTAGAGAACGAAGGCACGTCCATTCTTCCTTTGTTGTGCTATGACCGTGGAGGTTCCTTGATTGTTGGTCGCAATAGAACTTGTGACAAGTCTTGTTGGTCATATGTAAAGCCAATCCCACATACAAATTGTACGTGGTATCATACAATTCTCAACCTAACAAGAGATTTTTCTGGTAGGTCAGCTAGTCAACCTAGGGATTCTTTTGTAAGGTTTAGGTTTCTTGTGCCCAACCTCGTAATAGGATATACTCATCCGGAGCCCATGTCCCTAGTGTACTAAACTCTTAATGTGATGTGTATGAAGATAAAAATATAGACCAAACGGTGGAAGTCAATTGAGTAAGTGGAAAGAAAAAGGCTTCAGTTTGATCCCTACATATCATTTTTGGAACGGTTTAGATATCTACATCCGTGACCCGCCTCGTACTTTAAATTAATCTTATAGTCGGTTCAAAAAATCGAAACTTTTGTAAATACCAGAGAAAATCAACTCGCTTCAAATCGGTAATTAGAATTGGATTAACTTCAAAATAAAATAAAATATTGAACTCATACCTCAATCTTTTTCAGAGCAGAAAGCAGTTTATGATATACAATATAGTCTTAGAATGAAATAATTTCTTAGTTAATCAAGTTAAACTAGAATATAATGCAACCTAGTAACCTACAGTGCTATAGTCAGTCAACTGAAAAAGGAACGCGTATCTAATTTGACTTCGAATGTTATGTCAGAATATGTTCAAAAGACTATCGAAGAGCAATGCTATTTGGCTTTGATCAACAAAGATAATGTATTAGTCCAACAAGTATCAAGACAAATCAGAAAATGCTAAATAATAATGTAGTTACACTTACAAAATTAATCCTACCATAAAAATGAGATTAACTCAAGTAGTTATTTATGACTTACTCAAGTAAGTCAGTGTAAACATTATCCAATCAAGCTAAAACAAAGTTACACAAAAATGATATCAAAATATTATGTAACTAAATGTGCAGGCAGCCAAACATGGCAGAAGTCCACAACTTATTTAATTCACATTACAAGCCTAATGTTATACACAATATACTTCCAATTCAATAACACAAATTAGTGGTACTATGCTCTTCAACCAAGATTAAACAATGCAAAATTTTCAGTCTGATGCAATTTATATGGGTTTGATATCTGTCATTTTAAATGACATAAGTTATGTCATTTTGTGAAAGAGATAGACAAAAAAAAAATCATGGAAAAGAAAGTGAATGATTTTTTTTTAATTTAAATTTTTGTAAAAATATTATTTTGTGTCTATCTTTATTCTAAAATGACATAATTTTATATCATTTAAAATCACAAACACTTTTACAAGTTATATTTTCCCAAATCACAGCCAGATTCGATTTAGACAATAACCGCACAGAACAAAAATAGTTTAATTTTGATAGCGTATGATCAATTTAAGTAGAGCTACAAATCTGCCAAAAGGGTAATCCTATGCAATTATCCAGTATGGGCAGGTGTATGATATGACACACTTCATTTTCAGATCGATATCACAAGGATTATGAGCAACACAACATAATTTGTACATTGAAAACAAAATGGGTTTGTCCGCATGAAAACAAAATTTCCTAATTAAATTTGTTTTTAATTTCATCTTAATTTTTTGCAAAATATCGAATGTACCCTTAACCATTAACATTTATTTCCAGAATGCCCACAGTTTTTATTTTATATTTCATCAGATACATTACCGATTAGTTATTTTATTTTCCCCTCTGCGCATCTTTGTCGAATGAGCTAAATTTAGGCATAATTCAAAGAAAAGCAAATGTAACATGTTCAAGATTAAAATCAACCAATGTGCCTGTGATTTATTTTATAATTATTTATGTTCTTGTGATTTTTTTTTATTACATATGCCCATGTGATTTGCAAAAAAAGTATATCTTTTTATTATATATATACATGTGATTTTTTATTTTTTACAAAGCACAAGAGCATATGTAATAAAAAAGAATCACAGAAATATAGATGATTCTGAAACAAATCACAAGAATATTGACGAACTTTTCTCCAAAATAAACTTCTAACCTATGAATCTTTAGAGGGCATTTGGTATAAGGTCTTTTTTAGATTCCCGACAAATTGAAGGTCATAATTTTATTTATCCACATTTGGTAGTAGATTTTAATTTTTTTTTCGAGAATCAAATTTTTTTAGAATTTGTGTAAATTTCTTTAAAAATACTATCCAAGAAAACCATCCATGGGTAGTATTCTAGAATTTTTATGACAAGGAAAAATTTAATACAAACAAACATAATAGCAAGAAAATTAACTAAATATTCTCAAAAATATTTTAGTCTACCAAATAATTTTTTAGTAACATTTTCACTAAACCTATTTTTTCATCGTATACCTGAAAAAATCGTGATTCTCGTATAAAAAAATAATTTATCCTCTGTGCAAAGCACCCTCAATTTGAGATATTCAATGTTATGTTTGTCGATCATCAAATCTTCCCACTTTAGGAGGTCCGTTATGGATAGCAATGGCAAGTATGTTTTACCTTTTTTTCCAATAGATGTTGGATGAATTTCATTGTGTTAATGACCCAAAAGAAGGAAAAGACTAACCTAACATAACCTTTACTTGAGCTTCAGATTCACGGCACTTGCTATGCCTTATCGTAAATATGATCACAGTACTGGAGGACCTACCAAAAACCAAAAAACAATGATGACCTTTACATAGCTTTTTATGCCACTCGAGATTTTCTTCCTGCTACCCCACTCCTGCAACAAATCCAAAAGTACTCTTGCTGTTTTCCCATTTAGCATGAACCAACAAAAATACCCTCTTATTCCCACTTATGGAATTACTTTGACGTTAATTGAACGAAGGATCATATGAATTGGTAAAATCGTGAGTTACGGTTATTTTCTTGTTTAATCTTTAAAAAATAAACTAGTCGTCTAGTCTATAAAAATTAAAAAAAGAAAGATATCCACTATTAACTCAATTCTTCATTTTCAAACTTTAGAAATATAAAGTTACATGATATAAATAAAAATAATAATATTCTCCATTATTTACCGTATTCCATATTTTGAACATTCTTTTCTTTATAGAAAGAGAATTTACACGTCACACTAAACGACAAAAGAAGCTTTTCAAACCACAAACAGCAACCTCCATCGTCCGTCTTCATTTTTCATCATCAGTCATCACCAAACCCAAACCCAAACCCCTGATCGGTGAACCTCACACGAGCGTCTTGCATGCCGAGGTTTGTGGGTCCCACATCGCCGGCAACAGGTACTTCCTCCCGTTCGCGCCGTTAGCATTGTAGCTCGCCCCCGTTGTCTTATCCACCAAAACCCGACCCGGGTTACCCGGATACGCCCCGCTCCCGAAAACCCCCGTGCAGGCGGAAACTGCCTCCAGCGGCGCCGTGGCTGGGCCCTGGAAGTACCCATTATTGAAAGGGTTAGTGACGGTGCCCGCCAACAGCGTTGCCAGGTTGATGATCATTCCGTCAACCCCAACGTCGCCGTTTGGCGCCACAAGAGGCGGCGTCTGTGGGCCGTAAATGGGCTGGTGGAAGGGCCATGCGCACATTCCGGGACACTGGGTCTCGGAGTTCCCGACCCAGACATATGCAACTCGGGCCTTCCCGTTGGCGGGTCGGATCGAACCATGGGTCCCGCAGCGGCTTGTGCAGAAACCATCGACGGCGACGTCCTTGGCGGTGAGAATGACGTGAATGGCGGAGAGGTCGTTGAAGCTCGAAGCGAGTGCGAGAAGGTGCGTTCCCTTGAGGTCCTTTCCGAGAGAATAGGCCTGATGCAGGATTTGCTTCCCTACGACGAGTGCAGAGGATCCTCCCTTGTACTTCTCGGTAGTGTTCCACCACGTGGCTACGGAGGGAAGTGAGGTCCCAGGGGAGGAAGAGCTCAGGGAGTTAATGAAGTCGACGATTATTGATCGTTGGATTGGCGTGAAACTCCCGTACCATAACAGATTAACGGTGATCCGCCCCTTCAGGAGCTCACCGTTATGGTACTTGAGAATCAACGGCTGCTGTTCTACCAGCACCCCTACCGCAGGGTGCATGACATTCACAAGGCCAAGTAGTAACAGACCACAACACACAATGGCAGGGTGGTAATTAGACACCATTTTTATGGTCAAAGTTGTAACAGCTTTTAGTCAAGTATATGAAATTGCAAAGAGTTAAAAGAGAGTGAAGAATGTAGACGAATGTAATAGGAGAGGGGTATTTATATTATAGAGTGTGGGAGAGGAGACAGCTGTAGGAGGAGGAGAGGTGTCAACATCATATGGTTTGTGATTGGTCGTGATCGTTGCCAGGCTGTAAGGGTATGAAGTGGGTGACGTGGCCGTCCACGATGACTGCGACGTATGAGTCTAAACTGGTCATTTGAACACGCATGCACGCATTGTGGTATTGGATTGACCACACAACAACCTACCCTACTGTTTTTCATTCACAATCCCCATAATGGCTCTCGATTGCTGTAGCTATAATATTACTAGTAGCATCCATGCATTCAGGTTCGAATCAGTAGATATTTTTGGACCGAATCAAATGTGGGTCCCATGGGGAATTCAACACGCAAATGGTCACCTTCTCATTCTTATTCCACCATGGGAACCATATTATGACGCTGACCTTGACGTCAAGAGCAGGTTTTAAGTGTTTCGGTTTTTTAATTTAATATAGGGATGTGTATGATGGAGCTAGTCCTAGACTCGAGTAGAGTAATTTAAAAATAACAGGTTCTTAGTACCTGGGTTTTTTAGGCTATTTTTATAAATATGAGATATTCAAGTGTGATGAGTCCCACGTTGGTTGGTAATGAGCTAAGTAAAGAGTATATAAGTGAAAGGACCCATGAACCCAATGCCTTAAGGTTTTGGGTTGAGACATGGTGTCGGATCCACTTGCTACGGTTGGTGTAGCCTTAGCTCATTGGTGGTGGCCCCCGCCACGGACTTCTCCTGGACTCGCTTGACATTGGAGTTTGAGGGAACGAATTTCCCAACATCTGATTGGGCTTAGATGAAACAGGGGACCAGCATGGAACCAGGTTCCCCTATTTGGAAGAGTGATCATTTTATTACACCTGCAAAAAAATTTACCAGACTGTCATGCCAACAGTAAATTTTGCCAAAATATCACGCGACATATTTCGCTACACAGCACAGTTAGCAAAAATGACACGTGTCAGGTAGAAATTCGCTACACTGTGTATGAATTATGCTTAAATTCTGCCTGCTTGACACGTGTCATTTTTGCTGACTGTGCAGCCTGACATGGCATATTTCGCTACACTGTGTAGCGAATTATATGCAAACATATTTCGCTACACAGTGTAGCAAAATATGCCGCGTGATATTTTGACAAAATTAACTGTTGACATGGCAATCCGGTAAATTTTTTTGCTAGACGTGACAAAATGATCACTGTTCCCCTATTTTAAATACGTCAGTGTATTAATATTTTACCGATTGATTAAAATTAAAGTAACCTTTTTTTTTTCTGATAAAAAAAAAAGGTGGCAAGCGATAGTGCCTCCAACCCAGGTTGTCAATTGACGTGTCATACAGCAAATAAGAATTCAATTTTTATCTTATCCTCGAGAATTGCTATGGGTTTGGGGTTTGCTTTTTTCTTTTCTTCGATTTTACTTTATCTTTTTATTTTTATTTTTATTTGCGTCAATGTTTCGAAACTCTCAAAGAACATATTGGGATGGGACGGTGCCGACTCCATGAATTGCCCACTGAAATCAAAATACTTCAATGGAGCTAGCAACCAATGTATTTGGGGTGGTTGTTAGAATTCAACACGACAAACAGAAATTGAGAAGAATAGCAAGTATAATTGAAGAGTAGAAAGAAAGTATCACATCGGATCACCCGCATACATGATACATGTACTTGTGGAGGAGCTGTACGAGAATGTTGAGGTTTTGGCAATTTAAAATTTGTTTGTCCGGGACTTTTTGGTTCTTAGAAGAAGAAAAAAAAAAGTACAATTTAAATAATAAATTACAGAGTTTATGTCATTTTCAAATATCTTATACAACTAATGCAATCAATATATGTGTAATTAGTTTGCACATCAATTAAGCATGCAACATATGACAAGCTTTCATGAGTTCACTGATGTTCATCATTGGTGCTTAATTAAAAAATTCAATGAAAATAATTTTGAAGGGATAAGTTATATTATATATTTTTGGGAATACCTTTCTAACCAAGTCTATTTTCAGAAATATATAATAAAATTTGTAAAAAAAAAAATTATAAATATAACATTTCTCAACTTTGAAAGCTCAAAAAATGGCAATATTTATCGCAATGCAATGAGCCTTAATCAGAAGAGCAAGACCAATTTCAAGGATTTGGTCAAATTTTCGCCTATTATGAGATAATCGCCCCTGGTGAGTACCATTTACCAATTTAGTCACGTTACTGGCTTTAAACTGTATATTACATAAATGATCATGATGGTGCCACGTGACAAATCCTTGTAAGTTTCACATTAGTTCGTGCATAATTTACTAAAACTTGTTACGTGACAATTGCGCATGCAACTGATGCGCAACCAGTTGCACGGATGTTTCTCCGCTATTGGTAACACTAATTTAATAAAATATTTAAAAAAGAAATTAATTTTGTTATTTATTATTTTAATTTTGCTTCGATGAATCGATTTGCTTGCTGCAATTATTTAGTATTTTTTATATTTGTATTTGAATTAATTTCGATTAGCAAATTCTATTATTACAAGCAGTGAAATGAAGATAGTTTTCATATTAATAAGAAATAAGTTAACAAATAAGACTGATTAGTCGCAGTAAAAGAAAATTATGACAACTGACAAATTTCATTTTTAATATTACAAATTAGTGATATCCGATATAAAAAAGAAGAAGACAAATCTAAAGCTAAACTCACGGAAGAGAATATATTTTCAATACTTACCCCTTTATTAAAAATAAATAATAATAAAGCTTAGGTGTTATTAATCATAAAGAAATAAATAAAATAAATACGATCAGAATTTTTTATTTTTCTTTTTTAGTTTTAACAAGTGATGTACTAAATATTCCATACAACAAACTGAAATTATTTTCCACTGAAGCTCGGTAAATCGATCAAAATGTGCTGGTAATTCACAAACGTTCATGCACTCCATTTCTCCCTCGTAAAACCCTTAATCACATTTAGCGTTGCCGACTAATTTCATCACGATCCAGGTTCAAATGCTGGTAAACGAAAGCAATGAGAAAGCAACAACTCTTAATTATAAAACTTGATTGATCCGTTATCCTCGGAAAAGTCAAGGTTTTTTGTTTTCGGTTCTAGCCCAAAAAACAAAAGGTAAATAAGAATGGAAGGTATACTGGTTCAGCATGAAGCTTCCTCTCCATTTCACCCTTGATCTCGCCTTTCCCATGTAGTAAAGAGAGAAAAACAAATCTTGTTTCCAAAATTAAGAGAAGAGAAAGGACAAAAAAGGAGACAAGTGGATAAAAAGAAAAGGAAAAGGCAAGTGATCAGCGAGATAGAATTGCAGTGTTTAATAATCCGGCCCGGCCATCGACTCGGCCGAGGTCAGAGGTCACGGAGTCACGAGTTCAACCGGGAGTCACGAGGTCACTATGTTGACTGGTTTTATATATTAAAAAATATAAATATATATATCCTATATGAAAATATTAAAAAACAAGTCAGCAATCATCAAAGATTCAAAATATACTTAACATAATTCACAAATTACAACCATAAGTCAATATTACACAACCTAATTAAAGTATCAAGATACCAAAGTACAAAATTCATATTCTAACGAGGTCACTACGCTGACCCGGTTCTGCTTCTTTAGAGAAGGTCCCTAAAAAAAGAAAATTTAAAGGAAATAAGAATGAGTTTTTGTTTTCCATCGACGATCGTAAGGATTCCATTTGAATGGGTAAAGTTCTTACCTTTTTCTAGAAGATTCACGGCAGCGAGGTGAAGATTGAAGATGTCTAGATTGCTGGGAGAGAAGAGAACGATTAGATTTAGGTTTGCAAGTATTTTTATTTTTTATTTTTAATAAAACGATGTTGTTTCATGGTATTTTTTTTTTAAAAAAAAAAACATGCAGTGACCCCCTCTGACCCGGGAGTCACTGAAACCTGGCCGAGTTTTGGAGGTCGGAGGGGTCGATATGCATATATAGGGTCCAACTTGTGACCCCAACCCTCAGAGGGGAGGGGTCAGGGTTGACCCGGGTCAACCTGGGAATTGGGAGGAGTTTTAAAACACTGGATAGAAGACAGAAATCAAAAAGCCCACATGCAGTTATCAAACTTGGACAGATCATCAATTCGATTGGGGTATGGGTTAATGGGTTATTGATTTGATCAGTAAATCATTACTTTAATTCTATGAATTAAATATAGGGGAGGGTTATAACTTATTGGGAATAATATCTGTCATTTTAAAGGATACAAGCTTATATCATTTTAGATCTTAACCGTTGATTTTCGTCCATCAACGGATATAATTTAATGGATTAAAATTATTAATTAATTAATAATAAATTTGGCCCATTAAATTTGACCCAATAGATTATAACCGTTGATGGACGGAAATCAACGGTTAGGATCTAAAATGATATAAACTTATATCCTTTAAAAGGATAGATGTTTTTTCCTAACTTATATTGACAAACTTTTTTTTACAAGTTAAATAAGTTAAACTAGTCATACATTTTTTATTGAAGTATGACTAGTCAGAATTAGTGTAGTTTGTAAGTTTGTAAGAAAAAAGTTTGTCAATGTAACCCCTCCTTTAAATATATATAAAAAATATATAATTAAAAAGTATTTATCTAATAATTATAATTTATTAGTGGTAAGTGATATAATTATAGTTCACATATTCTAATTTCAAATCTCATTTAATGATATTTTTTAAGCATTTTGACCAAAATTCAATAAAATTAATTTATTTTTTTAAATCGATACCGGTTTAATATCAGTTGAACTAGTTTCAGGATCGGTTCCCCAGTTTTATTGCGGGTCAAATGCATAACCAGTCTAATACCTACACCAGATTGGTTGAGGGTCCGGTCTACGAGTCAACCGACTGGGTCAGTTTTTATAACACTAACTCACGTATAATAAGAAAAGAGCAAC